TCGGGCCCCAACCATCTTCTGAGTTTCCTTTGAACAATATTTTCGCATCCTTATCTTAGTGGAGCATTTCGATGTACTTTCCAAACAACGTGGTTCGATAAAACAACATTTCCCGCGTTAAATCGGTCGACGTTCAAATACTAATACCGCAAACCGCGCGCAAACCGTGGGAAACCGCGCAAACGGGCGTAGCTTTGACACATGCATACGTGCGATTTCCTTCAAGACGTTTTTGCCAAACTTTAAGCGTATCTAGGTAACCGCGTGAATTCCTTAATCCGGCACATTCGAAAAGTACATGTCTTCCCAAATTCGTGTTGTTGTGTTATTCACTCACTCTTTTGAAAAAAGCAAGGTTAAGGTCGTGCGTTTACAAAAAGAAATTAGATGAGAAAGTAATTATTACTTCAAGATGCTAAGGTTGGGAGGTTAACGTTCAAACATTTCGCTCACGTATACGTAATGTTCGCGCGTATGCGTCTCGACTCAACTAAATCAGGACAAAATGCGGAACTACCAGGAACTAGAATGAACTACAGAAAATTGAACCTAAATGCAATTAACAATCATCGCGATCTTTTTGCGTAAACAGTTCCGAGTATTGACCTTCTCAAATGCAGGAAGGCATATAGAAAACGTATTCCGATTTTTTTGTCCAAAGATGACTTTTTCAGCAAAGTCCAAATTTATACATCTTTCATCTTGGATTATTCATATCTATATATCTATAATGATATCTTGAATGATAAATTCCTTTACCTTTAATATGACATATATATACAGTGGCAACGTTACAACAATCTCTCGGATGACTCCAAAGTCACATATCATGCAAACAACATTTTAAAGTGTCTATACTTGTGGGCTCGACGTTTCTATAGCTTTACTACGTGCAGCTCACCTAAAAGTGTGAAAACACAGAGCTTCGAGAGCCCATCCTCCACAGCATGGGCCGATAAAAAACTGAATTTTTTTCATGCATCGATCATGCAGTGATATCAGCTATGATTTCTTCAATCGATCTACAACACATGAAAAATATCATCATGTGGAATAACACGTGGAATTATTACTGTGAGCACCTTTCAAGCAATCCACAAAACATGAAATCTTATCATGCATTTGCATCGCTTCATTTAAGCTATACATTCGGGTATTCCAATCAGTGCATGAAATCCACGTGTCGAGCTTGATTATTGAAAGATATCTACAGGTATTATATGAAGTGGCTTTATCTTATTTCCGAAAGGTTGTTCATTCATCTTTGCAAACGATATTTGTTTACTGACGATTCAACGTTAGGTGACAAAGGGTCACGAGAGATTTCAGGAGGCGCATGCTGAGCCACGCAAAAAATATCGTGCTTTCAATCTTGTGTACTAAAATTCGAAGCCCCGTAAGAGAACCAGGGAGCAGCAGCATGCCGGCATCTTCGCATAATTTCTTATCAAATGGCTAAAGTATCAGTCTAACTTGAATTTTAAAAAAAATGTTCTGGAACGTTCGACCTTAAGGCTCAAAAGCGTCGAGACTTTTTTTAAATTTCAAGTTGCGAAGTTTCATAATCAGATTTGATGTGTTTATGCATGGGCACGAATTTAACTGCCAACGTGAATTTATCTACCAGAGTGTTGAGTTCAGACTGGAAAACTTTCCTTTATAATGTTGTTTATTTCGAGTGGAGTTACCCAAGCTCGCCAGGTTCAACCCGTGGTTGAATAGTTTACTTACTTTGGGGAGATCACACATTTATTGCACACGTCACAATTATATTTAAAATCCGAAATGCATGAAGTCTGAAACCAGAGTCGAGAAACCAGACAAAGGTAGACAGTTTTCTTGGAAACGTAACGTCATGCAAGAAGAATCTCGGGAAAACGATAGCGAAAAATGTATAATTATTAAAATGATTTTCAGATGAAAGAATGTAACTCTATATCTTCATTTTTAATTTTGTCCGTTTGAGATCACTTCCCATGCAGGCATTTTCTCAAAATTGTTGTAAAAGATGAGTCAGATAACCTACCATTGGAGAGCTGAAAGCTCTTAAACGAATATACGGGTTTGACGTTTTAGGACCCCGTGCATGCCCCTGAAAATTGAACTTTAAAACAAAAATCCGCTTTACGGGATATACCTTGAATGACACATGAATTATATTGTGGAAACCATTTCCTTAATCAGCAATCAATCTTTAGCATATAAAGGAAAATGTTCATATGCACCATTTCTTTCAATCAATCTGTAACATATGGAAAGATTTGCCAACTAGATACCGACCACGTTGCTGAAATTTGGTTGTGTTAAGTAAAACTTTTAACACAATCGACTGCTTTATTCTTGATTAGCTACATTGCGATCATTTGACAGTTTGACCTTATATTTCTACATTGACGGTATCTATAGCTTATCACAATTAAAGTATATATCTCAGTGTGATATATGTTCTTTTGACCTCATCTCAAGCTCATGGTGGTGAAATTCTTATTTTCATCGCGGATGGACTGACGTGTTTTCCAGTCTGGTTGTGTTGTAGCACGTAAAAAAGTAACATAACAATCAGAGCTATATTCTGTATACTCCATGACTGTTTGAGCTATAAGCAAGAACAAAATGTCTCACGAATTTCAATCAGCTAAGCTTAAAGAGAAAGGCTTTTTCCTTTATAGGATATATGCAGTTCCCAGTTATCAAGTTTAAATCAACAAGACTATATATAAGATTAGAACGGTTACGTTGCATTGATGGAAACGCCGAAAAAAAACAGTTTTTTTCTTTTTGAAAGCGAGCCAGCAATTAAATTGAATTTGCAACTCAAACTATTAAACGTTGAAAATAGATTACAACTTTACCATATAAGTTTTAATTGAAACGTTGGCGATTTTTAGGCTTCGTTGAATCGAATCAGTTTCGTTGCACGATAAAACATTTTCATCACAATCCCAAACCAGAAAACTGATGATTCTCTCTAACAACGGCGATTTATGCCATATGCATGAGAGGGAAAATATATAAACATTGCAACGAGGTAGGAGGGAAAAGCCTTTGGCTTTATGGTGGCACATCGCTTTAAGCTCTCGCCGGCCTCCTCGTAGCCTCAACGCACGCAGCTCTATCCGCATGGAGATAATGTGAAATCTGTTCTCTTTGAAACGCGCGGGCAACTTTTTTTTACCTGATAAATTATATTTTTATTGTAGGCAATCCAAGACATCATGCATGCCTCTGGTGCCTGTCTATAGCTTGATACACGTGCAAACTATCAAGGCCATGGTTTTCATGTGTCGCAACACGTCGTAATTCGTTGTTGAAAGCCGAATTACAACGAATTACGACTTATGAATGAATGACTACGGAATAGACGGATCACATCAGCTCAGCTTCGAAGGGATTAAAATGGTAAATTGGTCGGATAAAAATTGCACGTTTGACATCTGCGGTTTTTTCATATCGGAGTTTGAAGAAAAAAACTAGTGGAGTACTTCTTATAAAGTTAAAAACAAAGTCATTTAGAGGTGAATATCTATACCTGAAACTTGCTTTAATAAGCTGTTTGAAATCTATTGGTAATATATATTGAGTGCAATGCATATATATAAATCAAGCAATCTTTATTTTCCTCAAGCTAATTGGATTTCGGTTGTGGTTAGGGTTACAGGAACCTAACAGAAGGACACAAACAGAAACAGCTCGAAAATGATAACAAGTGCTAGCCCGTGAAATTGTGTAGTTGAGATTTTGCTTGGCTCTCTTCCCGGATTGAATTCGTCTGGCGCAGCTGATATCAAAAATTTAGAGCTAATAAAGCTACGTATCTCATCGCAAGTAATCCAGATGAGTGAGATGACTATTGCATGGCCTGGTTTGCACCACGTCGCGCATTTCAGTGGTGTCTAATTCCACTAAGACAATAGATTATCATTATAACATGCATGATGACGAAGCTAATACGAGGCTTATCACCTCATTATCAGGGATGAGTTTTAAAGAAATTACCTGCAATGCATGTGTTCAGTTAGCTAATATTATTTTGTAATCCAAAATAAAAATACATTTGATGCCTATACGAACGATGCAATTACGGAAATCATTAAATCAACTCCGTAGAAGACTGTGAGGATTTTGAAAATTTAATACCTACGTTTCGTCTAAACTTTAGTCATCATGAGAAAATGAATGATTCATTTCAAAATGTGATGTTTCGGAAGGTAGAAATTTAATCTTCTGCACATATAACCTGTATTATATTAGTACACAGTGCATGCAGCTATAGGGATAAAGATAATTGTTCTTAAATTTGTTTGGATTGCTTATATATATACAGTATACTGTCAGACCATGCATGGATCATATTGTAATTGAAGAATATACTATATATACGACGTGAATGCGAATCAATTTGCGGTATCACACTGCGGAAAAGGGTACTGATTGAATTGCCAGAAATAACTCGAATATTTTGTGCCAAGTTGGTCGAGGGCTGTAAGTAACAAATAAACAAACCCAGAATAGTTTACTTCACCCACCTATTTCAATGACTCATTTGCAAACGTCAGCAAAGGAAAAGTGTTCCTTTGATTAGGCTATAATCGGATTACAACCACAAGCCAATAATAGCCTCGAATGTAAACAAACGGAAACAAAACAAACAAATTTTCCTGTCAAATTCCTCCTATATTTGTAAGATACCCTAATGACGACCGTATGGTGCAGGAGACATAAGGCAAATGACCAATTTCGTCCGAAAACTCTACGGACATTCCAACATATGTTTTTGTTGGAATGTTCGATGGTTAAACTCAAACTGTGCGTATAATTTGCGGAGAATTTTAATTTAATATCGCATGGGCTTGTTAAATGGCGCATATACTAGGCTCTCGGGCTTCCTGTGGTCAATAAAAGTGCCATGTCAAACGTAACTGTCGTCACCAATTTAGAGGTAATTCAGAGATCACGCTCGGGTATAAAAACGCCGTTCCTCTTGGTTGAGAGCAGTACAGCGCAATCTTTGGTTCGGGAGGAAAGAGATAATTTGATCAGAACTGCAGTTGACTTCAAGACAGAAATATCAAGGTATTTGGGTATTGAAATTAGACTTATATAACGTGGTTGGCTTGCCGACACTTTTTTACGGGTCTTTTATAAGCACTATAAGTTACTTGACTCTTTGTAGTTCATATTCTATGCTTATGTAATCTATACCGTTTCGATGTTACGGTCAGTAACTTTTTAGAGTTTTATTATTTCAGTTTATTTTACAGTATCTTATTGTTGTACATATTGAGTACTACTTAATATACTTCCCAATATTGAAGCAAAATCGAGGCACATTTCAACACAGTATCGTTTTCGTACGGTATATGCAACGTATTAGTGTCAACGATTTGATGCAAAATTCAACATATTTATTTCTCTTTAAATACACACCGTTTCGTTTCGGAGGTCATCGCCGTAATTTAGAATTTTACGGCGAATAGCATTCGTATGTATGAGATGAAAAACACTTCGAAATATGTTTGAAAACGCTGCTGAAACGTTGATTCCATTTATTTGTTTCATCGCAGTTTCCAGTGACGATTTGTGCGATACAAAAGCATGGATTTAGATGATAAACCTTACGTTTCATTTCAATTTCAGATGAATTTTAAAAATGGCCTCGTGATTTTCCTATTGTGCTTGGCAATGTGGACCGCATACGTGGAGTCGGTCACTCTAGCTCTGGGTCATGCGATAAATAAGAGCAGGCGGCGAGCACGACCAACAGCAACTACGGTTAAAAGGACGACGGCGAGAAATAAATTGACGGACATGCTGAAGAAAAAGGTGAAACCAGAAGCGAAGCAAGTTGAAGATTTCCTAAACATACTGACGATAGGTAGGCTTATCAACACTCGTCAATCTACAAATATCGGTATATTTTTGTACTAACTTTGGAACATTCGTGTGCCATTTGGTTCCACGTACGCTATAAATTAGATGCTCGCAAATGGAGTGATAATGCGAAAAAAAAACTGGTAGACAGGCGCTGTGGCTGCTTGCGGCTAACGCCCAAATGAAATCATGAATAAACTTGTTTATGATCGTAGGGTCTTGAATCATCTCAGTGAAATGAGTGTCTTTCTCATCATCAAATCAGGCTAGCGTGTCCATGGCATACACGATCAGCGCCGGCATATCTATCATTATTCATATAAAAGTTACATTATTCATATCAAATCGTTAGAGATTTTTCTTTAAATCTTATATGTTTTCCTATAGACTTCCTCAAATTGACACCAAGCGCACGGATTTACACGAAACACACGCATTTTGAAAATGTAAACACATCACAGGATCATTATCCGGCACATAATCTCACACTTGATCGCTAAACGGCTAGGCGACAGGCACGAGCAATACATATGCATGCGCTGGCTTACCTTACAGCTATTGCGATACAGAAAAAAAGAATGAGCTCATCGTTCAGCCCTAGCACTTGCCGTTTTTTTATCGGCGTTCGTTGACCCCACCGTTGTTTTCGCCCCTTATCTCTCGAACCTTATCATCGATCGAAAACATCGAATAGAAAGGAAAGTAAACAAATCGTTTAAATTTCCAATCTTAATCAAACGCGTCAGCCTGACGAGATAAATTAAAAAACAAATTGCACGAATCAATGCACTGACAGCTCATCCGCCATCCTAGAATTCCAGTCAAATATGTGAAATACTTCGCATCATTTTCAGCAGACTCGTGTCGTTTCCCCTTGCGGATTTCATTTCAGCACAAGCCAATGAAAATCTCCTCCTGTTTATTTAGATTGATGCAATGAAATTTTACTAATGTTAGTGTCTAATAGAAAGAAACGACCCTCTTCGGAAAAAAATCAATTTTTAATCGTTCCGCTATCACGTTCCAATGGTTAATCCTTATAAAAGGGTGATAAAAGAGCAGCACGCGCAATTTATGCTAATAAGTGTGAAACACATTTACTCATGCTGTTAAACATGCTCGCTTACGTTAACTCTATCAAAGTTATACAGATTACATTTACAGCAGTGGGTGAAATTTGCAAAGTCATTAAAGTTTGCTTTCGTAAATATAACTGCGTAGGCCTTACCTCAAGGTATAACATTAGCTTCGCGTTTTTAGTCGATTTTAAATTTTCATTTGCCGCGACCACAGATTATCATGCAATACAACTTTGGAGTAAAGTCAACATGTTTTTTTCGCGAATTAAAAATGCATTAGCTACTCGAAATGCCACGCATTGTGGTTTTACCACGCACATTGTGAGCGCAAGAAATAGGGCATAGGTCATTTTTTATCAGCAAAATTGTGTTCATATACATTGTCATTGATGCCGTCACACAAGTGGTGGGGCGTCCTTGAAACTCTGCAGTAGCCGGCCGTGTGACAAACAAACGCGGAGTGAAGAATATATCTATTTTTCGACCTGTAAACAAAATTCTTCAAATAAGGAACGCCATAACATGACGACCATTTTAGGAAGTTTCCATTCTGGATGGCAAAATTAACATTAGATTGTTTTGGCCGACTTCGTGACTCAGATTGGATGAGTTAATAAGGTGGAATGGTACCCATGCAAAGCCAATTCCATAACGAGAATCATAGCATACATTTTCGTGTAATTCAATAAACTGATTCAAGTTGATCTTTATTAAGGTGGTATAATACCATAAGTCAAGGTCATTATCAAACCAAGAGAGACGTTTTGAGATTGAATTTTCTGAAATTTGTCCAAGTCCGAATCGAACGCTGTATACGCAATTGTGAGCACAAAGGGAAGGCGAGGGCTTTGTCAAATATAATATACACCCCAACACGGTATTAAATAGGCCAATTTCTGGTGCGGAATACCAAAATTCAACACATCTGATTTAAATATATCGCGCTAACCTCGGCGCTAACAGGTACATTAGTCGCCTCGAGTATTATTAGTTGCGCATTTTTACATTTAGGATGTATTTAATTTAGATAAATTTAGGATGAAATTAGCTGACTCAAGGGAGTATTTAAATCCGTCAAAGTGAAAGATGTATTCTAGCATGTTCTTCACCAAAGAACTTGAGTTGGAACAACCTGTAACTTTGATTCGAGCAATCAATATAAACCATCAGGTCTTATAGCAACAATTTTACTTAATTCCTTTCAATACCATGTCTATCGACGAGGATCGCAAACATTTGGAGTATGTATTTCCTATGCGTGGCTGCTCCTCATTACCCTCCGCTTTCAACCAGTCTTCAATGATTCAATCTGAGATCTTTATCGAAAATTAAACTGCAAGCAATTCTCACATCAAATTGAGGAACTTAATGGCGATGGTATCTTAACAATAGCAATAAGGAACAAAATATTCCAATAGGAAACAATCAACTATGTCTCCATTGGCTGGCTAATCAAAATTCTATTCCCACGCATTCTTGTGTGAGCTAAACCCACGCCCTTGGTCAAAGCAAAGTCGCAAACAATACTTTGGTTAACCTGCAGTTTTTGTTGACGTAAACATGAAAATGTTGATGAGTTTCGCTTATGGTGTACATAAGAAGGACCGCATCGTCGCATGGGGGGTTACCTTGACTTTTCCACCCCGTGTGAGATTCAAAAATGCGAATATTTAACCTTACAATCGACTATATTTAGACAGGATACCACGACTACATTGTTCTTGACAGAGGTCAGCTTTTACGCGCTATGTCCCATCAATCAGTTGTTGCGAAGTTTGCTATACCCATGCACCACAGGAACTCGATTGGATAGCTTAAAATACCCCTATCGCAGTAATTCAGTAAACTTTGATAACACGACAAAGCTTTTGCATTGCGACAACGGATAGATGTCTATCGCGCTACGGTTTTCGAGGGACAATCTTTTCTGAATTAGCTGTAAATGCTTAAAGGGTCGTGCATGTTAAACAGTCATGTCATATATTAATATTAGCGTTGATAATAAAGTATTATTCGTCTCTTTCGTTATAAAGATGCATTAAGAAGGCGACGGGCGGTGTTATTGTGGCGAAAAATGAAGTTATAAACAAACCGTGGAGAGTGTACATGTGAGAAAAGAGAAATTGACATAACTGATGAGATGACACGGAAGTCAAGTGGAAGCAGCAGTACAAAGTACGGAACGGTTTTACGCCAGTCTCGCTCGTGAGCGCTTCGCGATATTAACGACGGATTTCTAATGTATAGAAGAGGAAACATCCAACACTCGTCGAACATATGTTGTCAAAAAGTTGCCAACGACAGAAACTTAACTTAACTCGAAGTAGAATGTATTTAACATTTATATGTACAAGATATTTATATCTGTTAATAATAAACTTGCCAACAAATGGCCGAATAATAAGTATAGTATATTTTTAATTTTGCTCTGATTCTGGGAGTGGAAGAATGTACCCTTTCGACATTTGACAAACAGCGGGTAACTTTTACAGGACTCCAAAGTGAATGCAGTTAGAACTGAAAAATTCAGTTTCGGTTTCTTGTGTTGTAAACATTACTTATATTATATAGGCTTTATTGGGTCATTTATATAAACCACCGAGTTCTACGACAAGCACAATCAGGAATTAAGCACCACGTGCACGCCATTTCACCATCATACATAGATTTAAGAAAATTCGGATATTTTTGTTTTAATCAGACGTTCGAAAGAATCGAGACGTTTGTGTACTAATAATACTAAGAATTCGTTTACTAATACTGCAGGATTAACAAGGGTTTGGCATCCGAAAAGTTTTTGCAACTAACACTTAAGTACTAATCTTTACTAAGGCGAATTTTCAAACCGGCGAATAAATAAAAAGCATGGAATTAACAGACAATTCGTTACAAAAAAATTAAAATTGCGTGGGTTTGAATATTTCTTGGCGTTTTTCACCCAAGGAGAGCAGTTAGACCAATCCCGAATCGTCTTTACTCTCTCATAATCTCATTTTCGTGCATCAATTCGTTAAACAAACGCAAGTTTGCGGCGTATTTATTGAAGTATATACACAGTCACTAGATTCACAAATTTTCTAAGTTACAGGCATACCACATACAGGAGTTTTATTAAAAAAGTCCAAAATGTTTGTATGCGCGTCTTAATTTCTACTTACACCATAATACTACGAGGCCAAGGGAAACATGCCACGCGCCCATGTCCTCCTTATCACGAGACACATCGCGTGTCCGGAGATTGTTCACCGTAGGGGTTTAATAGCTAGCAGTGAGCTCAATACAATACACTGGAGTTACGGTGATCGGGAAATATGGCTAAAAACCATTGATTAAGAACCATTGATTAAGAACCATTGATCCGTGTTCATGTTCATCAAAACGGAAGCATGAATTGGGGATTAGGGATAATGTTTCTTAGTAAGTCGAATTTCTGGAAACATGCCCAGTATGTCCGCATTCAGCAAACAAGGCGAGAGAGCAATGTTCCCTAGCAAGTAGCATGTTCACGTTTAGAAAACTTAGTTAGGAAACAATATTCGCGATTTAGTTCCAAAAGCAAGGCTAAGAAACAATGTTTCCTGGTTTGTAAATCTCCTGGGAGATGATAACTAGGAAACATTGGTTACTTGTCAACCAACAATGCCTCTTGCAGATGTCCACAAACATGCCGAATTTGGCCGGTGTGTTATGCGACAAATTCTCACAGGGGGGAAACAAATTATTACATCGGTTCTCTATGAACCTGAGCTCACTGAATATTTACTGGATCAGGGCACTCTAATCATATGGAATAGAGGGAGCGTTTAATGTATACCAATTATTTCATATTATCTAATTCTCCCGTAGATCAGAGCGAGTCGAGCAGGCCTTGATACTCTACTGAAGTTCAGCGGTTCACTATCTCCATCTGTTCGCCGAGGGAGGGGGCAGGGTTCTTCACAGGTAGGGGGTGGCATATTTAGGGTAACGTCGGACCGTTGCGTGCGGACACTGGGATCTTTTCGGGCGATGCTATTGGGAGACTACGTAAAAGGAAATACGATTTGTAAACATCAAAGATAAGTAAACATTCATTTCAAAATTGTGAAAGCTAGGGAAAAATTTTGAAAGTAAACAGGCATAGGCTTTGAGAGTATAAAATTCACACAACGGAAATTCACGCAACAGAAATTCACACAACGAAAATTCACGCAACAGAAATTCACTCAACGAAAATTAAGTGGAAATGTGCTTACCTTTCATACTTACATACTCGACCTTTAAACGTTGTATTTTCAAAACCCAAATCACAAATATTTTGCTTCAAACAAAACCCGTCAAAACTCAACATTTTTTCCTCGAATAATGTTCGCGACGTTTTTTGCGCGAACATTATTACTATTATTAAGGAGCATTTTTATTTGTATTTTTCACAAAATATCAAAGAATTTATTGTGTTCATTCGATATGTAGTCATATGAACGATTGATTTTCAATACTTTTTACGCATCGAATTCGGATGCGAAACGTGTGTACTTTGCCTTACCTCTCTTTGGGAGAATCTTGTTTTGGCGTGTCACTATCACCGTCACCAGTGTTCACATCTGTAGCGGTAGGTTCATCTTTCACCTTATTTGTACCCTCGCATACAGGCGTTTGTTGAGAACTATCCGACTAAACAAGACAAATTCAACAATATTCAAATCTTGCTGCATTTCATTATGCTATGCACATATTACATATACGAAATGTTGAATTTGATCAACGCCGACGCCATTTTGAATTTCACTGCGCAGGGACTAGGGTGAGTACTCGAACTGGAATAAGATGTTATATATGGCATATTCGGAGGTTTAGCACTGAGTGACTAGGAGTATGAAGCAACTATGGAGGTTATTATCTATAACTTTCATGTGACAATTACTTATTTATTTCCATTTCATGCACGGGTTCATTTGTATAAGCTCAGGTAAACTCCTGTAACGATAACTCGGTGTTCATCTTTGAAGCCAGATTGGGTACGATCTCTTGAGTACGAGTTTGTGGATTAACTTCGTATTCAAAAGCCCAAAGACTACAGGTTTCGTCAGAAGGCGTATGCAAAATCACCAAGTTTTGACGCAGAAATGACGAATCTTGTACTCGTAGTCACTGCTAAAGCTTCCTATTTCCAAGTACTAAATACTTACAGTTTCCTCACACTTTGCCATCTCCGTATTCTCCGTGGTTTCGATCGATTCTGGTGTTTTACTTTCGCTATCATTCTCCTGAGTGTCCTCATTTTTCGCGCTGAAAACAAGATGTTATAAAAATACAATAATTCAGGGGTTAGGGCTGATACTTTTCAAGACGGAGAAGCAAGACATACTTTTGAATTTCTCTTATCGGTCTGACCCTAGTTCATGTTTATTACATAACTAAAAGCCGAAAAATTACTAATTTCTACTGATGGTATGACCAAGTTTTACACTTTCATATAAAAAAACTTTTGGGTTCTGAACAGCTGGCACATTCTGTTAACTTTGCTATTTATTTTGCTACCTCAGCAGAACATACAAGTCCCGAATAAAGTTTAAAACACTCGCGATGAGGTGAAGAAGTCGCGTTCACATTATCTAGGTATGGTTGCTTACCTGGTCGTTGAGTCTGAATCAGCTTCAATTTCGTCGTCGTCGTCGTCAACGTCGTCTTCTTTGGGAGCCAGCGGAACAATTCGGTCTGTGACAGTGTCGCTCGACGTTTGTGAATCCGCAACTTCATGTAATTCTAGCATACTGTCATTTGGTACTCCAGTTTCGTCAACTTTGTCTGTTCCACTTTCGCTAGTTTCTTCGGAATCTTGTGGTTTCGTTTCATTCCTAACAAGAAATTGTTAATAGATCACGTTCGGAATTTTGCACAGATCTGTAAATCACTGATCTGAAGCACACAGGATATCTGAAGCACACGAGTTTTTGATACAAAGACATAGTTGCTATATCTAGTGTATCATCAGACTAGCAGCACATATGAAAGTTTTGAAAGATTCACTATAAATTTTCGAAGGGAAAAAGACATCATAATACATCATATGCAACATATCATCCAACTTCCAAGTACTTTTTACAGAATTTTGCTATGCAGAGCTTGCTAGTGTGATGAGGGCACTGATATAGCTATACTAAAACTGGATAACAAATCCTAATGAACTCAGCCCGACTTTGAAGCGGGGATCTTTTTTAGAGGTGGGATTCTTCAATGTAGCAAAATCATTACTAAGTTAGAAGTGATTTTCAAGCTTAGCAGGCTATAAGGCGGAATTTGTTTTCATATGTACCATGTGAAATACACTTTTTGAGACAAGTAAATCATAAAGTAGCCACTATATAGTTACCTCGTCATTTCATCTGACATCTCTGCTTCTTCAGAATCAACAACTGCAAAAAGTAACACGAAAGTCAGAATTTAATGCAATTTCATCCTTCCTTCCGAAGGGAGGATTTAATCCATATTTTTGGCTCTAAAATTGACCCCTTCTGGAACTGGTTAAATTCTTTGACGAGAACGGCCCTAATCGCAAACGTCGTGGCAGTAGCTATTCGTTTTAGAGCCTTATTAGTTTGTCTGGTCGTAGCATAGCGAATGTTTTTTAGTAGAAACGCCTACACACGTAGCTATAAGTATGTACACACAGGTCCATTCTTCCCTACTTACTGTAAGCTGATCCAACAGATGTCGCGGGTGGTGATGACGCTTCCGTGTCCATAGCAACCGGAGAACTGCATCGTTGATCTCGAGAAGGACTTTGACTGAAAACAGTTCGAATATAAAAATGAATATACACAGACTTTTCTTAAATTCTTCAATTGTGTTTCTTTTTCTATTTTTAAGCAACGATTTACGCACACATTGGAGATTACCGATTAGATCAGTATGGCTAGTTGTGTCTCATGTCAATGCATAATTTTACAGCATCATTAAACAGTACACCTATCTTCGTATCAAGTTTACAAGTTTTCTGTGACAGACTGAGAGTGAACAGGGAGCATCCCTACATGCAGCCAACTTACTATAACAGTAAAATGAGCGACGGTTTTTAGTTCTTTTATTATGAATAACATGCACGGCGTGCTCTCCAGTCACCGTGTAAGATCAGTGGGCTTACCCGGTCGTTTCACCGATACTGCCAAGATCGTCAAACTTTGCCCAGCCGCTGTTCTCTTCCTCGTCCCCAGTCTTATTTGGTTCGCTCGCCCACCCAACACTAACGGAATCCGCGCCTTGAACAACGTCCATCGAGACTGAATCCGATTCAAAGTTGGCCGACCAGGCTATATTGGAACGAAGGCAGATATGAAATCTTTATGATACGATTAGAACACAAACTGAGAGCGACAACCTAAGAAACGAATTATTTCAGGAACGTTTCACACTTAACACAAAGGGCTTCCGTCAACATTTCAAATAGTAATAATGATGATAATAGTACTTTTTTTGTTTTTGCTGATCTCGGATACACTACAATCGTATTCGCAGTTACATGTGTTGCAATTGACTTAAACGATTACTCTTGTAATTTTTGCTCAAATTTCAGATGCTTCTTTTGATTGATGTGAACGAATCGATAATTTACAGATGTTTTAACAATGGCACTCGTACATCAGAGCATTCTTATACCTATATCTAACAATTTACACCCATTTATGAAAAGAAGAAAACTGCAGGCACCGAAAACCACAGTCTATATATTCAAAATGTTACAACATACCCTCATTACTATCGACGTCCATATTGCAATTATCATCCTTCGCCTTTTCAGGGCATGGAGACGAGGTTCGTATCGCAGCGAAGTCTTTAATATCGTCAGCACTATCATCGTGTGTTGACTGATCCTGTTTTTCATCCCGTCCTTGAACCTCCTCGTCTTCGCTCTCGCTGCTTTCCGACCCGTCCGAATGAGAACTACAACAAATTTAGTGGAATTTTCACATCATCAGCTTATTGCACGCATTTAGAATACACAAACAAATTAAAATTGAAACTACTATGTGAAATTGAACCGCTATGAGAAATTGAACTAGCCGCTATGAAAAATTAAACGATAGACTTAATGCAAGCGCAAAATGTCCAAATTCTTAAAAGGCTTTGGAAACATTCCGTTTTACTCTCCTTGTTTTAATTTCGTAAAGAAATCTACAGATTTTAGTCTACATTTTGGGCATAACCTTTATATAGGAGTCTCAAAATCTTACAACTGGAGTTTGTACATTGTCTTGTTATTAGCTTAGATTATCGTTAAAGACGTTTGTAGTTTGTGCTTAGGAAAAAGAGATTGGGTAAACCGTGGGTAAACAGTATTAAAAGATAGACTATAAAACATTCATTACCTTCTCAGTTCGGTGTTACTGGAGAACGTGATTTCTTTTGTATTCCAGATGTCCTGTAGGGAAATAAAACAGAGAATATAGTCACTTTGACAGCATAGTTATGTAAACCCAATCATATGGATGTCAGTAAGGCAAAAGGGTGCGAAATAATAACAAAATTTTCGAGGATATCTTCCAGTTTTTGTAACATTTTACAAACCCATGCACTATCCATTCAATAGGCACTTCTCGACATTTTGACCCTGAGGGCCTTCGTCAGGAGACTTAGTAGATATAGTCCATACTAACTCTCCTGACGAACGCTCTCAGCTCGAAACGTCGAGAAGTGTTTAGTCTATTTTAGGCAGTCGTTTTACCACATTTGATGCTAAGTGATTTGAAGACGCTGCTCGCTGGTTATATTGAAACTATCCATTCAAGTCTATTAATCGAAGTTCCTTTTATCGGAAATATAATCCTTTTGTTTAATATGAATTAAGGCTTTGATGAACCCGCACGTCAGACTAGCCAAAAAGCATGCATGCAAATAGAGATGCGATTTATCGACAAGAATTCCGAGGAACTTCATGATAACGTTAAAATAGCTAAATGTTCACGCCACACAATGACTTAATGAGCCCACCTCTTCGTCACTATCGTGATCGTCGAACGCGTGAATTCTTTCATTGCATGCGGCCTCAAATATCGCTGAATTACCCTGGAAAACAGAGGAGGAAAACACGTTTTCATATTATCAATCAGCGCATTCACAAAAAACATTCATGTTTCTAAACAGGAACATATTTATTTACAAAGGTAAAAACTAAATTTGTGGAACCCCCTGAAGGGCAGAGTTGCAGAATAAGATAACAGATTGAAATTGTAAGTAATCCAGGAGGAAGCAAACTGGTATTATTACTACTCATTTGCAATTAACCTATAAGTAAAATCTGGCTTGTTGTACTTACACTGTCCTCATTAGTATCAATGGTGAAATTTATATCCGCAATTCGATCAAACGGTGCACTAGAAAACGAGAAGTAAAAAATTATGCATGTTTGATGCCACCCAAGAATGCGTGGCAAAATACGAAAGGAAGTTTCGCAGCCATTTATATACAAAGTCAATTCGGTGCTTGTTACATGCAACATAACACCTCGACTCACTTCATGTGCTCATCAGATTCTGGGAACTGATCCTCATCGAAACCCATGTTTTCTAGGAATTCGGGCGCCATTTGTTGCAACTGGTAATGCGTGAAAGCCTAGTATAAAGTACAAGGAGACAATTTCGTGAGCATTTCGTAAACTCACTGGTACATTTCATACTGTTCACTCAAGTACATTTTTACTAGAGTTATCCAACATTTTTCGTCTAACAGTATTATATTTCGCTATATTTGGGATGAAAACTTCGTGTGTTCAATCTAAAAAATTTGGTTTCGTAACTTTCGCGTAATAACTCGAGGTCCCATGCACGACCATTCAGTGCCCGCAGATTTCAATAATCACCCTTGTAATTATATTACTAAAATTGTACTAAAATAACAAAAATATTCTTTTTGAAGGTGAAAAATATGAAATTCAACGGCCGGAAGTATACAGTACCTGTTGATATGACGCATGACTTCCACCATTACGCAGAAATGAGACGGGTCGAAATTCGTCGTCGTCGTCATCTGACGATTGCAGGGGATGTCGTCCTGCCTGCATGGAGGAAAATGACAACAGTTTAAGGTCATCATATCGAAAATAACATCGGATCGACTAATTTCGGTTGAAGAAATTAACAGAAAAAACTAAATGCGGTAGTTCAAAGATCATTAACACACTTTTTAATAACGGTCGTCTTTTGGTCGTCAACATGCGGCTACTTTTCGACCCAGACATGCCGGGATTTCCAGATTGTGTATTTTTTACAACCGATGAAAAAGCAACGCTATATTTGGAAGTTCGTAAAATGAAAGCTGACGATGTTGAGAAAAGCAGCTTCACTATGCACAAACGTTTGGGAAGTTGGTTTTTATTTAGGAGACGGTTGGGTGAGTGGACAAGGTGTTGCCACTGCATGGATGTTTTCCCAATCACGCCAAATACAACATTGACGTCGTCGTGCTTAAGTTCGCAAAAACGCACCAAAACGTACGTTTGTAAACGTACAAAAACGTACATATGGAAAAGATTTTACATTGATTCTACGTTCATTATAAAATGATTTTATGATAAAACATGATGCTTTGATTCCAACATGTATTGTAATTATGTATTGCAAAAGTACTCACCAAATCTGTGTTATTCCTTTTATTGATTTCTGCCAGCTTCCCGGACACAAATTGTTCCCATTTATCTTTGTCTCCTTGGTCCAGTTCTGAAAGGAAAATATATGGCGATGTAAGACACAATAAGCCACTGTAGAATAAAGATAACCAATTTACCGTCACACGATTTTGAGAAAAGCTAAATAAGTGAACTTCCAGTCCAGAATTAAGGTGTTACATTCACGGGCTGGATAGTGAATTTTTGTTCTCCTCAGGATTAACCACGCATGCAAACAATAACGCACTCAGACTCACCGTTGTAAAGATTTGTAAGTTTTTCGTGATTCTTCCCTTTGTCCATATTTCTGTATAAATCGTTCGCAATCTTCGTAAGATGGCCCATATAGCCATGTCTCTTGCACCCATTTTCAGACCTAACGAAGGTAGAGAATTTCATAATGTTTTGTTCGGGTCGTTTTATGATGGTTTTTATGAATTTCACTTTGAGCAATTGTAGCTTCGTCATGGAGAGAAGCAGCGAGGAGATAGCTAGCCGGCTTACCCATTTTCTTGCACTGTAAATACATCAGTGATCTTATGAACGAGGTTGAGATCCTTCATTAACTATCAAAAGAACAAAGTTAATATTTGATATTTCTTTCGCTTTAGCGAAAATTCGTCAGGCTTATAGCATTTCTCAACCATGAGCAAGTTTTCATAAACAAGAAAAAAAAGATAGAACGAGTCAGAAATTCAGCTTGTGAAAAATTCAACCAGACACAAACGGAGACCTGCATTTCAACTGGGAAAGGGGAAGTACATTAAAGTTCCTACATACACAGCATGAAATACGCTTATTATATTTTTATGATAACGTTGGAAAAATCGCTAAAATGACTGTCTAGTTTTTGAACCAATTAATTAAAAGTATCACAATTTTTGTGCATGATAGGTCTTTTCCTCTATCATATGGAGTTTCCACCTTTTTTGATATGGTGACTATGTAGACTTACTGCAATCAACAATAGATGTTCGGTATCCTTCTCCATCGGCGAATTAATGAGAATTGTGTTGATACAATGTTCTACTTCAGCGTGAAGGAAGTTATTCCAAGGATACTGAAAAAATAATTCCTACAAAAAACACATTATTTTAATGACGAGAAACGCGCGTTTGGATATACTGTACACTGTGGTGTTACTATAGTTAACACAAAGAATCATTCTAATTTCTAAGGAGGGGGGGGGGAATGATTGCATTAACGGTTGGCAAATCTATTTTACATACATCTAAGTAGTATCTAAGCTTCAATAAACCGAATACAACGATTGAAAAACTTGTTTTGGAAAAGTATTTCAGCACATGATGAACATCGTTATCATGAAAAGCTGTGCAATGCCTGTTTTCAGTCGTGTCATTTTCATTCGTGTCAAAAACTCTATTTCCATTGTAGATTTTATATATACATAGACACACGGACAAGACAGTGTAAAGAATTTTGCTTAGGTTGTTTTTACCTGGGTTGGCACGAATGCACATTAAGGAAACTGGCATCTACTGTTTATAGGGCAGACCCACATGCCTGTGTGTGCTGATTCCTTTATACTGCAAAGGCCCACGTTTGTGCGCACGAGAATTTAAAATTTACGCTATTCCATGGCCACGCACGCATCTCCACGCGACCGAAAGCACGTTATTGATTAAGCAAGAGTTTGATCAATGCTCAGTACTGCAGTACCGTGATTTCCAGTTCACAGTCAATGAGTTTGAGGGAATGCAGAACATATACTTACCCACATAGCCTGTAAGGTCCCTAACTTCGAGAATTCCTCGTTCACGTCGTCACTGTTCGTCTGCAAGATTGCCGAGAACATCTTCAAAACTTGAAGTCGAGTTTTGCCGAATGGCGGCTCTAGTTTACCAGCAGTTGTCGTCATTGCGGGCATCTAATAATGGAAAGCAAGAGATTATGAGAATCATATGAGCCTTTCGGGATCCATAAAGAGGGGCTAAAGTTCGTTCTACGCGTGCACTGCAGGTGGTTTGTTTTTGTACACTATATTTAACACTTCATGAATTAGTATGACACCCTTTTCCAGAGATATATGGAACAATTTAACTTCGGGCATGACTGTGATAAGGGCAAAATTTTTACTTTATATAGAATAGAATTGGCAAATATCGATAGTATCACGAAACACATCAATCGTCCACCATATTACATATGCTATGATCTACGAGCTACGACGAACGAGCCGGAGGTGACATATATTAGCGTTAGGAATGAATTTCTGAATTGTTTTCATACTGCCCTGATTTTCTTATACCAAATGGAAGCTAAATTTGGTGGACTTTAAGCTTGCTGTTGTCGAAGAGAAACTTTCATAGCATTGAATGACTCTGCTTTAGGGGTATCTCTATTTTCGCAGTAAACCGGGTCCCGTTTTCTTATAATCGCATCATTTACATTTCAACTTTAACCTTACGCACTAAAGCCCGGCAGGCGAAATATGAGTAGTCTACTCATTGCACATTCAAAATAAATAGTCGGGCATGCGCAGAACGTACTTTAATCCCTTTTCGACTGTTCAACTCACTGAGTTCGCTGGTGTTCGTGGGCCTAAATAAGGGTTTGCCCCGACTCAGAACTCGAGCGAGATACAATGAGTCCAGGGAAAGCCAACCGTAAGTATTTATGTCCATGCAGGAATAGCAATTATACTGCAATAATAACGTTGACGGGTGGTTTTGACCGTAAACAAAGCGGCAGATTTAAAAAACTAGGATAATTTTAATTTTTCTTCAGCAGGTTTGATAGACCCTAATACCTGAAACTTTGGACAAATGTAAATTATACTCCAAACTCTACCCAACTGTTCAAATTTTTTTCTTACCGGAGGTGGGTCGGTTAATATGCGATGAAAACCATCCAGTTTTGGAACTATCGCGGACAATGTCGTCGTTACACCTGTGACAAGAAGAACCCGTTACTACCCACTGTAAGACCCGCTTTACACTTTCCTGTCCAATTAGTACTTTTACAATAGTTGGAACTCTATATTGTGAGATCCGGCGTTAAGAAGAATTTTCGTGTCAACTCAAAGCTTTAATAACTGCTAGAAATGTACATACGGCCCAGGCTCCTAGCTATTTCAGTCCATTGAACTTTGATCAGAACAACGTCGACATGGAAATGAAAGGGGATAAACAATGGCCGTATTCGGCTAAAAAACATACCGTGTGCCAATCTTTCCGCATCCAATGCTGTTACTGGTTCCCCGATTTCCACGTTAGAAAACGGCGACTCGGAACTAGAAAAAATCAACCATTCATTTTCACACTTTTTGACATTAAGTTATCATTGCCCTTCAAAGGATCATGCGCCTTTCAACGATTAACGCTGCAGAAAAAATGTTTTTGTCGCTAATTCTTCTGCCCTACAGTGGTCCAATCGCATTATTAAGAAGTATAGTTTAGCGATGTTAATAGGATTGGAAAGTTAGAAATAAGTTCCTCCTTTTCTTTCTTTCATAACTCTTCACAGAAAAAAAGTATGGAAAAACGTGTCTTTGACGAATCAAACAAAATGGGACAGTATATAAAGAAGATACGTATCGCGTGTAAATAGCTATAGCTGTATATAGCAAAACGCTTCTGGGGGAAAAACACGCCGGAACACAACAATTGCCGCACTTACTTGCTCTTGTTAACTTCAAGTAACGTCAGCAAAACAGATATTCCTCCCACCAGGGAATCACTAGACGATTTAAGATGCACTTCATGTAGCATATGATCTAAGAGAACTGACAGCGTTTCTTTGCTAAATAAAGAAAACATTTCGTGTAATTATCAACGCTGTCATCACAAGATAAAGATACATCAAGAGCTCGATGACTTTCGAGCACTTCTTAAACGAATTCAAGCACTTTCAATGACTTATGCATTTATTCTAAACTCGATATCCCTGTAAATATTCAACTGAGGATAAAAAAAATGTACCGCGCAGCAAAAAGCAGCGAAAAGATCTTTAGGTACGAAAAACGTTCAATCAAAAAGGGACAAAATTTTGCATGGAAAGTAACTTCTTAGTTCGGAATTTTAAATTTCAAAATAGCTGGTTATTGCTGAAATTTGGAAACATAATAAGTACAATAATCCCGTCAATTTTTCGCAACCAATTTTGTGGGCATTAAATATTAGCTAAGTATTCTCGCACTTACTTTTCAATGGTCGACAGAATTGGATCATGATAAGCGCTCTCTTGCAGTTGAGACATGTGTTCCCGACTCGTTTTGATCAAATCACAAAGGCACTGCGATGCATTGTAGATTTTCTAAACGAATAATTTTCTATCAATATTGTCGTGTATTCAGAAGACTTTTCACAAAACAGGAAAATATATACTTTCATACACTGCTTTGTGGGGGGGGGGGGGGGGGGGTAGGGAGAATTGGCGAAACATATCAGAAGCTTCAAAATCATTCTGTTAATTTCCCGAACTTTTTAAGTTCATTGAGACTTAGTGATTCAACCACTACTTAGAATGTCAAAACAAAGTGACTCAACGTACGAAATACAACTTACGTCAGATGAATACTGCGGGTCTACCAGGTCAACCAGTTTTTCTACCAGCTTTTCATCATTTAACCACTAAAACAGTCCAATTAATCATAAAATCAGATCCAGAGGTACATGCAGAGATATCATATATCTATTTCGTATACCCAATTTAAGACCGTTTTCGTCGAGGTACAGGAATTTAACATTTTCATGTGACGATTTTTCCCATTTTTAACTCAACGTATCTATACAGATACAGGTTTGCCGGATACTGAAACAAAAATCTAGCCTAAATGATTCGCTTATCTATTTAGTAGTCGGGTACGGTAACCCTGATCTACATATATACTGTACTGAAATAAGCCTAGCAAAACTGTCCGGGTTAAAGGGCTAATGAAAGTACAGTATAACGAAGTAGTGCTGTATAACTTATGTATATTTCTAGTAATGAAAAATAAAAGATTTCAATGCAAATAATATCTCTGTTGATAATGCTGTGAGCGTGCAATCGATATTCATATTAGTCATTACTGTTTACTAACTTGTAAAACTTCTAATCTTAATTCGTCGATTTCCACGTTATTTGCAAGTTTCAAAACGAGGTCCATGATTGCCGACGTGTCAATATGTCGGAGAATACGATCCACGGGTGTATCTTTCGACTTGAGAAACTGAAGAACCTTTATGGAACGAAATAATGAAGAATTAAAAGACAAAACCGAACATACTTTCTGGCACCTAAAAATGTCAACACTTCTACGGACAATATGCATGAACCCTGTATATCAGTGCACGTAAAACGCGTACGGTATAAACCCAGTTAGGTCCAGGGGCAGGTTGTATGAAAGCCGGATAGCGCTATCCACCGGATAGTGATTTTTTCAACCCTTCTAAAAATGCTCGAAAAGCGATAAAATTTCCGCTTGGAAGCAACAATTATTAAAGAGGATCTTCAATTTAAGAATACTAAGATTTAATCCAAGTTGTAGCAAATAACGGGCGAATTTAAAGCGATTGAAAAAACCACTATCCGGTGGATAGCACTATCCGGCTTTCATACAACCGGCCCCAGTAATATATAATGTGTGTGAATAATAACAACAATCTTCTTCAATAAAAAAATGAATGAACTCTGAACTGCAAAAACGTTTTTCCAGGAGGAAATCAATAAGTAAACTTTCATGACGGATTCCCGTTTCTGTCTGTTTAAATTTAAGCTAGGAAATAAATCATCCAACATTTTCCACGACGAATTTAAGATTCGAGCTTTTTGATACGGATGTTGACCTTGTAATTGATTCTAGCCTTCTAGTTGGCAGTATAGTTCAAGTGAAAACGAGATAATCAAAAACATGAAGTTAGCAAAATTCGAATAATACTTCGAATAATAATATTCGAATGTTAAGTTTAAATATAGCTATAAGACAATTGTAACACATGCAGTTTGAAAAAATCCAAATCGATCTAGTAGGTATACTCGAAAACTAAAATTGTATGGATGTAAAATGAAAGAGGTTGAATTGTAGCCCAATATATGCTTCCTCTTAACAATATTTTGTATGTCAGAAAAGGACGAAGCATGCCAGAACTGAAATGCAACATTTCATTTTTTCGCAGTGTGATAAAATGACTTTCCAAGTTCAAATTTGAATATTTCATTATCTTTACACACATTCCGGTTGTTTTTGTTTAACTTTTTATTAATAAAAAACTGCCAATTTTAGTCTCTTGACAACAGCGAAACATCTAACAATGAGACTTCATTCTACGTACAGACCATTTCATAAACCTAATCGAGCTCACTATTCAGATTAAATTAAAATAGTGATCAAAAGTAAAATAAATTCGCATCATCTGTAAAAAGATGAAAATCTAAGACCTTAATAAATTCGAGATAAAATCATTCACGTAAAAAAAGTGGACCATGAGCGTAACCTTGAGGGACGCCACATAAAGTGCATAATTCATCAGGAGGTGAAAATTTCACGAAATCGTTTTCTCCTTAATCAGAGATTAACCTCCAAAAAGTAGCCTTCATGGATACAAAGCTGAGTAAAGTAAAATATTTATCGCGACACTAATAATTTTCTTACTTTGCCTAGGTAAACCTCTGTTTTGATGAATGTAATACAGTTTTGCAATCACTTAACTGAGAAATTTAAACAGAAATTTTACTTGCAAAAGCGAGTTGTGCAACCTATGCTGAATGCATATTCTGATCCACTTCTTATATAAACGGCTCAGACAGGCTACGTTATTTCTTTTTGCTCTTTTATATCATGATTACATGTTCAGAACGCGACAATTAATGATACTACGTAGCCCGGGTAACAATGTTTTAACACGATGGAAGAACCGCTGCAACGCTGCTGCCAGGAAATTTGCCAGAAAAATCGATTGGAAAAATCTTTCGGTATCTTCCAGGAAGTTTTTTATTCACTATTGACGAGATAAAAATAGAAATAGCACAGCGATATAGCATGTCATGCAAATTGAGAGTGAATGTTTTCACACAGAAAATCTAATTTTTACTTCAAAGAAAAAGCGTAAAGAGTAGCTTATACTCCTCCTAGCTTCTTGCTGTCCCTTGCTATCTAATATTTTATTTTATTTGTAGGCTTTTTTGGAATATAAGCATTTCAACTATTTAACTACAGTCTACAATCGAAGAAGCATTCCGTACACGTACATATACTGTATAATGCCTCAGCTATGCGCTAATGAATCTTAAAAGATTTGAAATTGCTGTTATGAAATCAATATTTCAAATCTTAAAAGGTTGAGAAACGCTGTTATGCATACATGCACTGACACAACCAAACTTAAGAATGTGTACCCAGTAGTACTGGCTGCACCCATAACAGCCCACCCTAACAGAAGGTACTGTATTGTACCTTCTACAATCAATTCTCCAAAACTAAATGTCCTATTTACCCCTTGACCTAAATATTTTTGTAAATTGGCGTCAGTGAAATTAATAAATCGATGAATTATAAATAGAAAAGTGCATATAGTACAATGCTGCCACAATAGTGAAGGAGATAAACAAAACTTACTAAAGTCGTTTTTCTTCCAACCAGCAATGAAAATACTTTACTAAAAAAGCTTTAAAACAGAATAAAAAAATCAATCAAAATCCTGTTCACACTTCACACATTTAAAAAAATTAAAAATACATTTATCATAGTGTGCATCTACCTTGCTAAAAGAGGATTTAATGTTTTTTCTGTGTCTAAAAATGTCCATAATTTATCTAAAAGCACCTGTGAAACAAAACAGATGAAACTATGTAAATTAATATGTGCTAAAGTTTTATATATAATATTATAAGTCCATAATATAAATAGATCTTATGTGTAAACATGTAACATTTTAAGCAAATTGAATTGTTCTTATCACTTCTTTTTCCAGGAAACTGAAAGCATGAAATATTTCATTTTCAATACTTAAAACTGAAAGCATCTATGTCTCATTTTAACTATAGTTACAGAAAGGCAGAATATTTTCAAAACAGCCATTTGTTGGCAATAAATGCCATATGCCATAAATTTATCAGACTACTGTATCAAACTGTAAAAACTATCAGACTGTACCAACTTACATCAGTTGCAGTCATTTGCTCCACAATGACTTGTACATCAGATGTTAGCAGTTCACATGCCACATTGGGATGCCTAGAAGCACAAAATACAATAAAATCAGGTCCTACATTCAATTTTTATGCATTTTTTTACAATTAAAGAATTGCAAACAGTTTAATACTTACTTGTATCTTAGTTTTTCTTCGACATCACTGTCAGGTTCTGTCGTTATCATGTCAACTAAGTTCTCCAAAATGTCAGGTCTTGTCAAACTATTATGAAAAATCATGAAGATTATGCAATTATATACTGTGCCAATTTTGAAAGTGACTACCATCACCGCTGATTAAAGCATTTAAATTGGATTTGGCTAAAAACGTATGAACTTACAAATCCAAAAGTTTTCTATTTTGCGATTTACATTCTTGTAACACATCATCTTCATCCAAGATTTCAGACAAAGTGCAGCTCTATCATAAAAGAAGTAAATAAATTAATATTATTAATAGAAAAGTAATTAATATTAAGAAATTGAATTATAAGCTACACTAAGAAAAAAAACAACTTTTTCACACAATGTTTGATACTACGTTTAAGTACATTTTTCTATCTAGAATATTGTTGTATTGGTAATTGGTAGTTTTTAGCAACAATATGTCAGTGTAGAACTGAGTTATCAAAAATTACTATATTTTATGTTTGGTATGTACACAAGTCAATAAGAGAATGCAAGTTTGGCTTTCATTCAAGTACAGTATTATACAATTACTTAATGGTTTCTGTGTTTGGATGACCTGATCCAAACACGTGGGAATGTTGCGAGAGTTAAGAAAAGCATGTGGCCAAAGGCGAGTGTTTTGAGAGCTTTTCTTAACTCGAGCAACATTCCCAAGTGTTTGGATCAGGCCATCTAAACACAGAAACCATTAAGTAATTGTTTTATAAAACCAAAATGACAAGGCCTGAATTTAAATTCTTTAAAACTTTAAATTTCCGTGTTTGGATGGCCTGATCTAAACACGGGCTTCGACCAATCAGAACATGCGTTATATACATATTATTTTATAATGTGTATTACACAGACTATGCCAAACGTACATTCCAATTAGAAAATCTTAGCAACATTCCAAAATAACTGATTTTGCACTTTGAAAAGTGATTTGTTAGTCACTTTTATTTTATTTGTTAGTGACTTTTTTTTTTAACTGGCAATACCCTTCTATATATATATATTGACATGAATTGAAAAAAACAGCACAGTACTTGAGTTATGGTTGAATGAAATTCCTGCTATTTTTTCTCAAACTTAGTTTAATTCAAATATGTAGCTCCAAAACAATATCATTTTTTTTAACAGCTATTATTTTTTTTAAAAAACTTGCACGTTAAAACATGCATAAATTTGGTGTTTGCTATAAATTCCATATAAAATTTAGGGGCCCTAATTTTAGTACAAGTACAATCCTATCTTAGAGTTCGATTTACACATTGCGAACACCTCTAAAATCTCATTTAAAAGTGAATGAAAGTAGTTGAATGTGTTCTATTAGCACCAAATGAGTATTCGTAATGCACAAGTCAATGGACATATTCGTCAGGGTATGGACATATTTGTCAGGGTGGGGCCATAAGCAAGCCCAAGGTGAAAATCAGCCCTACTTGGATGGCTGGCCCTCCTCATATAATTTTGAAAAATAGCCCCTAAAAGACCATTGCGAAAAATAATAAAATTACAGTATATGAAAGAACATTTCAACTGACAAAAGGTATTGCCAGATGGTTTGTTTTGTCCTGTTGGTAATGATGTGCAATACACATTGCCCTTTTTTTTGGAGCTGTATTGAACCCACAGCAAGCCATAAAATTCACTAACTTGTCAACAGGGGCACAAACTTGACATTTATGTCAGAAACCAGGTCTGATGCACCAGCGTAAGTATCAACATTAAATTTTCATAATAAGCAACATGCAACACGCTAATTTTTAACAACTACGGGTACCATCAAAAGGCTAGAGGATTTTCATTGGACTGTTACATGGATATACTTACATCTTTTGACAAAATCGTATCCAGGGACGAACTTGGGTGCAGATCAAACTTCCAAAACATTGTTGAACTTGCACAAGCGTCCTGACCAGATTCACTTGATAATACTCCAACAAATCCTGTCTCCAAGTCAGTTGGCAAACATTTGCAAGATAAACGACGATCTTGCCTCGCTTATCGACAGAAAATCTCTTACACTAACCAAAAGCCCTCGGGTAGCCAGAACAAATCAAATTAACACGTATTCCGAGAGATTTCACAATATATAAACACAAATCAACAGCGTGCAATGACACACAAGTCAATGCAGAATTTGTGAACTGATAATGCAGTCGGCGGCTTGAAATCGAGAGGATATATCGACTATTACTCTTGACTTAAAGACGATATCTTAACCCAAACAAATCTGTAGTTTGGCGGCGTTATCTGCAAGCAACACTTGAAATTTGAAGGCATTTCCACTCGTATATACGAACTTAATAGGACATGAAATCGGAGGCCATCAAATCATCTCGTATCGACAGCCCCAAGAAATCGGCCAGGTAGTATCATATGTAGTATAGATGTCTTGCGGAAATGGGTGAAAAACCAGCCAAAGGAACTGTCGATCGGCAGAAAAACAAATTTTCACAGATTTAAAATGTAAAAACGACGAATTTCGCAAACGGTGTACTAAGGAAGTGAGGAGGATTTCCCACAATTCCTTGCGCGGTCTCCCCGCACGATCACGTGACCAAAGCAATGTTCATATTGCATAATCGCGTGAAGAGGGACGTCGGTGGGTGTGTTGAAAGATCAGTGGATCAGAAAGACTTTACGACTAATATTTCGGCTTCAAATTTCTGGTTGCACGTGCAATAAAAACGCGACAGGAAAAAGCAGTCATCGGTTTTGTACTTTGTGTGCAACAAAACGGGTCGATGGGTATATGTTCTTCACATATGTGATTTTTTTAGCTTGACAAATAAATTGCGGAAATAATTTCCAACACGAAAGTGCCATAAACCACGACACGCGTTTTTATTGCAAGTATATTTTCACTTTTTCTCTTTTTTGGCAGGATTAAGTTTGTGGGTTAACACAAAACCTTTCATTGAACTTCAATCTTCTGGGGAAACACGTCAACGAAATTTGCATCTGCATTCCTGGTTTGTGATCTTTCCTTAGGTCTGCAATAACCAGTTCCAGTGGAAAGGAGCTAATATATATGATTTGATACCAAAACAAACGGGTTGCAAAAAATGCAAATCCCGTATTAAATGTGGTTGATCTGCGAGAAAAAATTCACCGCAAAAAGTAGGATTTCCTCTTCCTTTCATTAGTTTCCACGAATAACATCGCTTAGTAGAGAACTGGCTTTGCAGTTTGCACCTCAGCCACTTATTAGCAACTGACTATCAAACACTGTGCGGTGTCTATTAATTGCACAAGTTCGAGGCTGAACCCATACCACGTCTATTCTATTACTCCAGTAATGCTTTAACCCTGTAAACTGCGAAAAATAGATTTAAGACAATGATATATAATTTATAAAGACAATCTGCTCCCCCTGAAAGATCGCGGGCTCTGGTTACTGGCGAGTTTCTAGAAAGACAACTTGACAACTAGTCCCAGTCCTTGCAATAGATGACTTGCCCTTTAGAATACAAAATTCTGAACTTCGCATGGCATTTACGTATTTTACAAAATTTATGTAAATTAAATTAAATTTAGTATGTGCTCTTTCTAACTGCAGTTATTTACTTTCTTAGTAAATATTTCAATCAGCACTCAGTACAGATCAGCAGTATAGATTTACAGTACAGATCGAACAAGCGAGGTCAATATATAATCTGTTTATTATATGACTGGACTGCATGAGACATTCAGGATACTGGTGCAGATACGGAATATACGGACCACGCCCGGATATGGGTTTTTACGGACCGCTCGTCAACCAATCAGAATACAGGATTTTGAAAAATAATAATATATATATAATATATATATATATATATATATATATATATATATATATATATATATATATATATATATATATATATCAACAAATTACAATCTTAAAATTTTTTAAAATTTTATTTCGCTACACTGTGTTTCACGTACTTCTACCGTGTACGATCATCAGGCGATGATCACTCTGATTTACTACGCACAGATCCAAATTTGCGTATATATATATATTATATATATATATATAAAAAAAAAATAATATAATAATATAATATATATATAATAATAATATATTATATAATAATTATCATATTTTAAACGTTTAATAATTATCATATTTTAAAGTTTTGATAAATATACCAGTGTTACCTTAAAAAACAAATTAAGGAGTGAAAGAAAATGTTTTCACTCCGTATTACTTACAGAGAAATAGTTCGCTAGCAAAATATTTGCATCTTTTCTTTTGAATTGAGAGCAGCCATGTTGAAATAATTTATTCATGCTGCTAAAATTCTGAAGAAAATATGCAAATATTTCGCTAGCGAACTATTTCTCTGTAAGTGGAAATCCAGCCTTATACGTCGCGTTTTGATCCCGTCGAATGCAATTCAAACAATATATATGTAGATGACGAGATGACAAACCTCATTATCGTCTCATTATCTAGATCTATTGTTTTAATTGCGTTCCACACAACCAAAATATATGCGACGTATAACCTAGGTATCATCCACTCATCGCAAAAACTAATTCGCAAACCCGCTGCGAGTAATTTCGTCTAGTCACCTCGCCAATCACAATGCTTGAATAAAGTAAACTTTATTTAGATGCAAGCACTCGCAACTTGCGAGTAGATTTTGCGATGAGTGGAAAAGAGCCTTAATCGTCGGTTTCCATGTCATCTTCAAGTCTAGCTCCGGCTAATTTCATCCATGTGATTTAATGCTGCTTCTTCTAATTCCTTCAGACACCCACTGAGAAAGTGATTCGTAGCAATGAAGAAAATGTTTCAGACAACCCAGGCACTGGAACCACCGGTGGCACCGGCTCCTGAAGCAGCTGCAACCTTCGAAATGCGACCTGAAATGATTTTAGGTATATACATGTTTAGAGAAAAATTTTAAAATTCTAGGTCATATGTCGTTCTTTTTTATGTCCCAGTCCTTTAATACCATAACAGGTAATGCCTATAAAGTTAATTTTTTTAATAATGGAGTATCTCGCAGTATTTCTATACTTCTCCCCTTATTTTATCTTTTGAGCTGTTTGTTAAAGACAACGCTAGGCTTTCCCTCTGAAAAGCTGGTAAGACATCTAGCATAGCCTGTGTGAGGCAAGGAAAGTCCCACTCGAGTGGTTTATGATTGCAGATGAGAAATACAGTATATGCTGTATATCTTCGTTGCGTGCCCCCAATCCTTTTAAATTTCCCAAACAGGATGTTCTGATGGCCCACTCCACTCTTTCTTGATATCCTCATCGATATCCTCATCGATATGTGTGCGCACAAAGAAGAATAGTTTTTGGAGAGATTTTATTTTTTCTCCCAACAAACAAAGCGCTTATTGCTGAAGATAATAAGGATGTCGTGCTTCTCCAATGCAACTTATTCGCAGTAGGATTTAAGATTTGGTTATTTCGGTGTACCTATAGAGAAAGATTGATCTTTAAAAGTCTCTGTCTCTGATACCATTATTCCAGCAATGACAGGTTGCCGGATAGCGCTATCCATCGGATAGTGATTTTTTCAACTGTTTTAAAAATGCTTGAAGAGCAATAAAATTTCAGCTTTGGAACCAATAATTATTAAAGAGGATCCTCAATTTTCGAATACAAAGATTTAATCAAAGTTATACCCAACAACGGGCGATTTTAAGTGATTAAAAAATCACTATTCGGTGGACAGCGCTATCCGGTTTTCATACAACTGGGGCCGGTTGTTCGAAAGGTGGATAAGTCGCTATCCAACGGATAAGTCGCTATCCAACGGATAAGTTTTATCCAGCGTGTGATTTGCGTTGCACGAAGCTTGGATAACTTTATCCAGCGGATAAAAATCGCTATCTACCGGATAAATTTATCCAAGGTCCGGAGGTGGTTTAAATCCACTATCCAGTGGATAAATTCAAAGATACAAGGTAACACTGTAAACATTTACATAAAATAGGACAAAAATGCCATATTCCTGTTACTGTGTTTCAACAAACGAATACACATCATGATTGTATTCACTATTAGAAATGTTTTCGAAGTGCAATTTGTCGCAGCAGCGTTTCACGTTGCCTACACATTCCGTTCCGAGCGGCGATTTTTTGGAGATCCTCGCATTTATAACAGGCGGTAAATATAGCTACTATACGCTTTTAATCAGTTTATAAACCCGAATATCCAAAGAAAGATTCAACCTATTCCAAGGAAACTTGCTAATATCTAAGTAATTTCATTCACGAACATTAAAATAGTGTTCCTAAATTTGCTATGGAACCGAAAGGCAAAGCGTTGCAAGGTCAAGGAATAAAATTGCAATGTGTTTAATTAATAAAATCACTATGATGTAAAGTGCAAAGTTCGAGCAAATCACTTGTTCAAGTCTTTTCCATTCAGTAACTATACTCGAGAATTCGTAATGATTATGAATTCAATGTTGTAAATGCTTAGCAACAGCTGACGTTGTGGTACGAAATTTCAGGATAATCCTGTTTTCTTCCGGTAAATTTTAACTTATCTATTGGATAGCTATCCACTTCACTATCCACGCTTCGTGCAACGCGTTTTTATCCAATGGATAACTATCCACTGGATAGCAGATTTATCCGTTGGATAGGACTTATCCGTTGGATAAGTTATCCATCTTTCGAACAACCGGCCCCAGATGGATAGCGCTATCCGGCTTTCATACAACCGGCCCCTGATCTCTATCAATCAATTAAGGTAAACACTGCATAGCCATAGTGTAGAATGTAATTTTAGTCTATTCCTTAACAGGAGTAAAACCTCTGTCTGATTCAGGCCACCATGCAGCGGCCGGTTGTAAGGCTGGATAGCGCTATCCACCAGGGGCCGACACCGCGGAAATTGGTATAGGCTTAGCCGCAATTCTCGATACTTAGACTTCAAACTTGGTGAGGAAAAAGATTTATAAATATTCAAGAAAATATGTCTTGCACAAAAGATTTGAAGCTTGCTCACGGTAAAAACGAATCGTCTGAATTAATAACCTTGTGTATACTTTAAGCCTCAAAATGGCCATTTCACAGCGGTCAGATGTGTATGATGAGCTGTCAAAAGATTGCAGAATGCGTATTCAGAAGAAAAATTGAACTTTTTTAAGATATTCAAAAGATTTCTCTTTGATAGGGCGATACAGAAATGCACAATTGTGAACCAGCGATTAGATTTTCAGGTTGAAACGTCTTAAACACCAATTTCTGCGGTGTCCCAGGGGCCGGTTGTTCGAAAGATGGATAACTTATCCAACGGATAATTCCTATCCAACGGATAAAACTGCTATCCGGTGGATAGTTATACATTGGATAAAAATGCGTTGCACGAAGCGTGGATAGTGAAGTGTATAGCTTATCCAATAGATAAGTTAAAATTTACCGGAAGAAAACAGGATTATCCTGAAATTTCGTACCACAAAGTCAGCTGTTGCTAAGCATTTACAACATTGAATTCATAATCATTACGAATTCTCGAGTATAGTTACTGAATGGAAAAGACTTGAACAAGTGATTTGCTCGAACTTTGCACTTTACATCATAGTGATTTTATTAATTAAACACATTGCAATTTTATTCCTTGACCTTGCAACGCTTTGCCTTTCGGTCCCATAGCAAATTTAGGAACACTATTTTATTGTTCGTGAATGAAATTACTTAGATATTAGCAAGTTTCCTTGGAAAAGGTTGAATCGTTCTTTGCATATTCGCGTTTATAAACTGATTAGAAGCGTATAGTAAATTTACCGCCTGTAATAAATGCGAGGATGTCCAAAAATCGCCGCTCGGAACGGAATGTGCGTAGTGACGCTGCTGCGACAAATTGCACTTCGAAAACATTTTTAATAGTGAATACAATCATGATGTGTATTAGTTTGTTGAAACACAGTAACAGGAATATTGCATTTTTGTCCTATTTTATATAAATGTTTACAGTGTTACCTTGTATCTTTGAATTTATCCACTGGATAGTGGATTTAAACCACCTCCGAACCTTGGATAAATTTATCCGGTAGATATCCAGGCGATTTTTATCCCCTGGATAAAGTTATCCAAGCTTCGTGCAACGCAAGTCACACGCTGGATAAAACTTATCCGTTGGATAGCGACTTATCCGTTGGATAGCGACCACTGAGCTATATAATAATTCCAGTGATAGCGACTTATCCACTTTTCGAACAACCGGCCCCAGGGGGCGGTTGTATCAAGCCCGTTTAGCTTAAACGGTGGATAAGTGAAAATTAAATAACACTCTTACAACTCTCTTGAATGAGTCAACTTGAATATTATGCACTGAATATGTAGTTGTAAACATTTAGTTCGCTTGTTGAGTAAAACGGCAGACTTGCTTTCTATTTTAAACTTATCCACCGTTTAAGCTAAACGGGCTTGATACAACCAGCCCCAGAAGGATAAATGTAATGGAACATATCAGAATTGCAACTTTACTAGCAAAGTACCAGATTACTTGTCGGTAAATCCTTGACGAAATCCCTTCAAATTTCTGTCTCAAAACATGCAAGAGGTCAAATTGATTCATGCAGTGAATAATAGTGGCACTCCCTAAGACCGAGGACCAACTTGCATGGCTCAAGTTGCTTGCAACATTAACAAAGATGGTAAAAACCGATTACTTACAATGATTTATTATTTAATACTATATTTCTATACTTTAGCAATTAACATCTCTAGTCTTTTATATATAATGATAACATATGAGTTGAAAGTTGCTTACTCATGCATGTACGGTTAGTATTGACTATTTCTTTAATTATACTGATTCATATGTAAAGAGTCTTACCTTAAGATGAAGGTTGATTGAGTTTCTATGAGTTCATTTGTTGTCATGATGGAATCAGTTTATTAATTCGCTTACTTATTTATGTAAGATGAACTAAACTATTTGCTTACTCGTGCATGTAAGGTGAACTATTTCTTTACTCATTCATGTAAGGTCAACTAAACTTTCGCTTACTCATGCATTTATGGTTAACTAAACTATTTCAGACTATATTTGCTTCCTCGTGCATGTAAGATTAACTGAGACTATTTACTTACTCGCGATGTAAGCATTTAACTTATTTAAAATACGAAAGAAAAAAAGTAAATGTCCGTTTTTCAGTTCCAGTTGACACTAGTCATCGCGCGTTCTGTCTCCCTTGCTATGCCTTTTCTGTTTCTCTAATTTCATCGTATCCAAGTAATTTAACGCCGCATTTTCTAATTCGTTAAGACATCCATGGAGGAATTTGTATGTACAACCAAACGAAATGCTTGCAGCAATTGCACTTCCTACGAACGGGATGTATGGGGCAAATTCTTCAACAGTGGAACCTGCACAGTATACTTTCATTAATTTACTAATCTCCTCCGCACTGCTGGAAAAAAGCATGCGTACAATTTCCTGAGTTCTTCGCCTCTTTACTAATTTAAACTCAGGGGCAGTTTCATCAGGAACACCAAGATGGGATTTGTACTTCCAAACTTCATTTGTCAAAAGGGCGATATCGAGTGTAAATGAAAACTCGGGCACCTGAACTAGGGCACCGACACCTGAAGCAGCTGCAACCATCCAAATTTTACCTGAAATAAATTTAGTATAGGTGCATGTTAAAAATATAGTATAGGTGCATGTTAAAAATAATATACTTTAAACTATTCTGCGCATTGTTGTACATTCCGAATGATCTCCTAGTTCTATTACCATAAAAGACGATTTATATATTACCCGCGTGCACGGTACTATTAACATTTTATTGTACATTTTTACTGTACAACCTTAACATCATACATGCATTATATATTATATATTATCTAGTATAAAACAAATGTACAAAGTGGAAGTGGAATCTTGGAGCTAGACTTATATCCAAGGCTTCCTTGTCTTATAAATCATTGACATCGCCGACAACTTGTAAAGTTGGTTTAAATGCCGTTTTAGTACTTTTTTGCGTTCTGAGAACGTCTTTCTTCCGACTAAAAATTATGGCTGGCAATTTAAATTGAATAAATCATAATTCTCCGCTATTTTCTTCGCAGATGAATCTCGCCGGTTGCGTGGCTTAATAACCACAATTAATACCTCTCTCCAGCGGTAAATATATGTAGTGGTCGCTAATCTAAAGGCTACAGAAATTAATTGCAGCAGCTCTTTGGCGACATTTTCAGGAAAAACTAATTTACGCATGTTTGATAAATACCTGCAAGTATTTTCACTTTTCTTTTTATAAGATCTTTTGAGAGGCTTGTTAAAGACAGCGTTAGGCTTTCCCTTTGAAGTTGTGGTATGGCATCCAAAATAGCCTGTGTAAGACGACCAAAGTCCCACTTGTCTTGGTGACGATTGCTGATCAGAAATACATTTTTCTGGCTTGCTCCAAGATCTTTCAAGTTTACAAGACAGTATTTTGTAATCTTTTCGAGCATTGCTTTTTCTTTTTTTCCATCAACATCATCATATTCTTCATCATCACCTTTAACTTCGTTCTCGTAATCCACATCAATATGTGTGCGTATAAAAAAGAATGGCTTTCCAAGTTCTTTTACTTTTTCCGCCAGCAAGCGGTTGTTTTGGGTAAAGCAGTCTTTGCAGAAGATAAGGAAAGTGTCGCAGTTCTCCAATTCGAAATCTTTGCAGTAGGTTTTGAAATCTGGGTTGTTCTGTGTACCTTTTGGAAAATAAATATTATCACCTCGAACACGACTACTTTTGACTAGTTATGAATTCTCTGCTAATGCAAATTGGGGTAGAAGAATTCTGAATTTGTATCATGAGTTGAGACATCTTGTTGTTCACGGAACTGAAGACGGTCCTTGCGGGATTACGGCCTCTTTCCCTAATTATATCTAAATTAACTGATTTTACATTTGATAAATTTAAACAGATTTGCAAATTTTGCCTAACGATTCAACACTTTGGAGTGTTAATGGACTTTTGATAGGGCGCTTATAGAAATAGCTATAGAAGACTTAAATCTGGTCGTGTATGGGCGCGTTGACAGTTGACACGTTGCAGTTTGCACAGGATTGGTGATTTGATATAACTATATAAGCGCGAATTCCAAAGGCAAAGTATAAGACAAAGTGAACGTATCATGCGGTTTATTTACATTTTTGAACAATTGAACTTCTTTACTTTTTAAAGTACGATGTTTTTCTGAATTTCGCGATCGAACAACATTTAGGTTCGCAAGGCAAATGAGCATGAACTGCATGTATTGTTTATGTTCAGAAGCTTTATATTGAAGACTGGCACGTGCGCGGCACGCCGGAGTTAACGCCAGAACAGGCGTCTTGTTTTAAAAAACACGACGGCCACAATCATATAAGAAAATTTGCTTTACCATTGAACAACTGTATATAGTACATACCTAAACCAGGTAGATCCGAAAACTTTATTTTGTTATTGTTAGGGTGATAGTACACAGTCTTTTCTCTTGTAGTCTCCGTGACACCTGTCTTCGCCGCACCTTTATCTCCTTTTTTTAGTCTGAAAATCATTTATAGGAAATATCATTAAATATACGCATAAATATTATATATTTAACAATTAGTTACGGGTTTACGGTTCAACTATAATACATCGTAGAAATCGAGCGCGAGCATCGGAGTAATCTATAATCGTTTTAGTATATAAAAACTAATAAGAAAGTAATTATTTTTTAAAGTTACTTCCTAAAAGTGAGCTCGAAAAACAAATTACACAATGGTATTGTTCTTTTGTCACTGAATGTTGATATTTGCATGTAATGTCATGGAATAAGTGTAAATTCTAGCTACGTAATTCTACAAAAACGTGTAAATCATGCGATGGCAAGTACGCGTGCTTGGGGGTAAAGTCCCAAAATTTTGGCTTCACAAAAACAATGAGGAGGCATCGTTCCAGCTATTTATTACAGTTCACTGGGATAAATATATAGTGCGAGCAACATCGCATGATTACTTCTTTAATATTAGCATGATAAAAACATGAAATTTTGTTGTACTTTATCGGAATCTTTTGGAAAATAATTTTCAATACACGCAAGCATGGTACTTTCTTATCACAACAAGGCTCTAACTCACTCATCGCGCAAAAACTAAAGGCCATGTTTCACGGTGCAATTTTTCTTGCAACTTGCAATGCAATTCTACTTGTGAGAGATGTAAATTTGGCCACTAGGTAACTCTTATGTTTATTACACTCCATGTGCGTTTCTTACACTTATACGTTTTGAATACTCTGTACTAAATTCGTATCTTACAGTTGATTTCATAAACTTTGGCCGCTCCAGTTGTGAACTATGTTTGGAAACTGTCAAGTGGGCGGGGAAGTTGTCAATTCCGTTTTGTAATTCGCAACGAAGTTCCGAAGTTCAAATCGAACTTCGGAATTTCAAATCGAACTTTGCGGGCAATTTGACTAAATCAAATGGCCACTATAAAATATCAGGGCAAAGCAATTTCAATGCAGCAAAGAAATATATTGTAATTGCTTTGCCCAGGTATTTTATAGTGGCCGTTTTATAGAGACTGAGTCAAATTGCCCGCAAAGTTCGATTTGAAATCGAGTTCGATTTTGAACTTCGGAACTTCGTTGCGAAATACAAAACGGAATTGACAACTTCCCCGCCCACTTGACAGTTTCCAAACATAGTTCGCAACTGGAGCAGCCAAAGTTTTATGAAATCCACTGTAAAAGTAGGATTGCATTGCAAGTTACAAAAAAAATTGCACCGTGTAACAGACATGGCCTTAACTCGCAAGCTTGCTGCGAGTAATTTCGTCCAATCACAATGTTTGATAGTTTATTTTAATTCGATGGAAATAATCGCAGTTTCCTATATATGTCAAAAAGATTTAACCACCTACCCTCTAAACTTGTTAATAAAGGTTGACTTTCCAGCACAACAATTACCGGTTACGGCTATATTTACTTCAATATCTTTCCACTCTTCAGATTCAAGTTTATCGCGAAAATAATTTTCGATGCCAGATATGCCATATTTTTCAATATGCTTTCGTGCATCTTCCTTGTTTGCTTGTTCCCACTTCTCCCTATTTTTCGCTGAGAATGTGGGGATTCTCGTTAGTTCAGCCAGGGCGTATATAAGATAGGGCGTTGAAACGGCGATACATTGGTATGAAACATGTGTGATGCACTTTAAGACTGGGGCCAGCAAGGAAGGGCGCCAAATGTTTTGAAATCAAATTTTAATTCGAAACTCAAAGAGACAAACTAAATGTGTTAATTTTTGAAAATTAAAAATATTTCCCTATATACGTACCTCCAATCTGGTAAATAAGCTATATATATTTTATAAATTAGATGAACTCCCCAACTTAGCTCGAAAACGAAAACCAAATCAAAAGTTTCCTCTTTCAACTAATCTTCGAACGTTGCTTGAAACGCCATATTTACTTGCATTAAGTTGCCCATGCATCACATGCACATAAATCAAGGGTTATATCACCGTTTCACCGCCCTATCTTATAAACGCTAAAAAGGTTTACATTTTTGAGCTGTTTGAACTTTGCACGTCTTACTCAAATATAATAATCAATAATATTTAAACGACACATATGGTCTTCTAGTGTGAAAACAGCTACAGTATTTAGACGACACCTTCAGACCGCCGACAGCAGGCGATTTGTTTGTCTATAGACGATTTGTTCGTCTTCTGATGTGAAAACGGCTAATCGCTCATATTTTATGAAATTTGGAGTTAATCAATACGGCGGATGCGTAGCAAAACCAAATGAAATTTCTATATACTTTAATAGTAACATGTAATATTTGTAGATGTGAATGCTGTCTGCTGAAACTTTAGCATATAGCTCACATGCACAATCAGTTTATAAATTATGTAAACATAAGTAGAGGCAGGAACGCAAAATAAAAGGCTGTGTCATTATACCTAAAATTATGCTAAAATTATACGTGATCCGAATTATTTTATACATCGTCACGCATCGTCATTCATCAGCATTAACTTTACTGCCATCATTGAATATGATCAATGAATGTGGTAATTATTGGCATGGTGAGTAAAATAGCCTGCTCATTTGGGAAAGAAGGAGCCCCTTCATAAATCATCAGCAATGGACAGTGATAATAATATGCTGATCCTCACTGATCCAGTGTATTCTTCTCTGACTGACAAAGGATTTTATACATGCACCAATGACCTCCAGTAATGACATGGCCCATTCTTTTGACTACAGTAGTGTCAACCATGCGCTTTAGTATAAAAAGTCACACCCAGTTTACCGTGCTGATTCAGTGAATCAGTTTAATCAGACGATATTCATGGCTTCGCGAAGAAATAATCCGGCCGTTATTGGCTACATCCACAACCTGTCACCTTTGAAAAAAGGTAAAAAAACTGAATGGTGCGATTTCGAACTCCATATGCAAGACAAATGGGTACGAGTCGTGTGCTTTTCAAAAGCAAAGTATGATATTCTGGCGGAGGAAGAGAAAACTCTAATGCCAGTGCAGATCTCGAACTATCTGATCGGTCCAGGCTGGAAAAGTATAGAAGATGAATACAAAATCAACGACATGACCGTTATCGCATCGCCAAAAGCGTCACAGTACAATTTTCAATACACTCCCGACGATGAACCAGCGATCGTTGCATTAATTGCATGAAGAGACAATAATTATACACAGTTAGTTACCTCTTTTACCACGGACAATAGAACTACTATTGACCACATCTTTTTAAACACATCCCAAATTGTTAATTCAGGCATTTTAGAAACTTATTTTACCGATCACAAAATTATATGGGCAACGTTTAAGTAAAGCAGCAAAGAATCCGAAAGTTGTTTTCGGCTCGGCGTTGCACATTTTTTCTCTTTGTCAGTTCTACACTCTTTCTGGCTACACTACAACTATTAGCACAAGCTATTCTGCCAGCTAAATCCATGATACCACTCAGATGACAAAGAGAGAGCGGTAGTCACATGTACGCGCCGCGTACCTATTTTTTTTACTAAGCTTTGAAATATTAGTTTTTTTGTGACTAATTCAGGAAAGTACTGATATCGGTGCATACGTTTTCGACATAGTGGCGTTCCTGCCAGGACCTCGGTAGATCTACGAGGTTTCAGTGGAAAATCAAAGAATTTACAGCGAATTTCGTCGGCAAGTTGAAATATCGGCACATCGCTAAAACAAAGCGACGAAAGTGAATAATCTACGGCGATATTTGTGAGTTTAAAACTATTATAAACATTTCTAGAAACCGCACTTAATTGGATTCTTAAAGGGCCGCGCTTAGTTCTTGGCGGTTTGAGCCTCTGCAATTGCTATTTGTACCAATTGTACGTTGGATATTAATATTATTATTCAATTTTGAGAATTTGTTTTCACGAGTGTCTTCACGCCATTTATCTGGAATTTGGAACGATTTCCATCGTGCGTGAACAAGGGAACTGGGCGCGAAACTGAACAAGTACTTCATTTAAAACAATCGTTGTGTACTGTAACGTTGTAAATTTGTACCCCAAGTCTGGCGTTTAATCAAGGAACTTGACGGAAAAATAAAAACACTAAAATTTCGAATCGGCAAATCGGATGATATTATTTCTAAACATGATAAATGAAGCAATGGATAAACAACGCCTTCCTGTCAGTGCCATTTCAACCATGGTAAGAAAAATTCTGAAGGAAAAATTGAAGAGAACATGTTTATACACGGAAAATGGGATGAAGAAGTAAAAGAATCGGCAAAAGAGTCAGAAGAGATGTTGAATGAAGCAGATAAATGTGTAAGGAAGATTACTGAAGCAGAAGTTGGTTGAAGTGAAAGTAAGGGAGTTGATCCATGGTCCACCCTTCAAAGAGAAAGGCCATGACAGAGCTAAAATTATTCTCCAGAAGAAATACGGGGAAACTAATAAGTAGTTGGAGCATAGGTAAGAAGTATTCTCGAATTACCTTCTGTCCGTGAAAGATATGTAGCAAAAATCCACAACGTTGAATCCCTACAGACATTGAAGAGCTTAGATAAACTTGATGCGAGACAGCAAAGAGAAATGCCAAAACTGCCAAGGAAGACATCACACGTCAATTTGTGCATGATAAACGTTGACATGTACAGCGAGTCACGTGGGTTGAAGTACAGTGGTACATTCGGTGATAGTTGTGCGCATCAACGGCTATAAATTTCGGATTTCTGTCCTTCAGATCGTAATACGCGAACCTGATCGGGATGTACTTCGTTTCCATTGGACCTCCGGTCCACCGAGATCGAAGTACTCCAGTTTACCCGTGTCGTTTTTGGACTGACGTCCTAGCCTTTTGTGCTGAACAGAGTCATCGACCAACATCTAGAATCTATCGAACCGCGATATCCCGAGAGTGTGGCGGAAATCCGCAAAAATTTGTACGTCGACCGAAAATTAAGGCTGTCTAGCTTAAACGGGATGTTGTTGAGATTTTCCAGGGATCTCGTTTGCACAAATGGTATTCAAATGCTACTGAGCTTGAATCCGATTTGAACGATGGCGAACTAACAAAACATCAACTGAATGCTGTCAACACAAACAACTTGTGTAAACTTTTGGTTATGTCATGGAACTTCTGGGTAAGAACTGTACTGGTATGTACTGTCCAAACGAAACGTGGCGTGTTAGCTTATCTTGCCAAAGTGTACGACCCACTTGGTATACTTTCCCCCACGTTACTTGAAGGCAAGTTGATCTTCCGAGAAATCTGTGAATCTAAGGTTGGCTGGGAGGGAGCTATTTGGACGGACTGAAAAAACGATGATCCAAATGTGCATGAGAGTGTTTTACCAGAAGTCGTGTCATTTCCTCGTAGTGTCCCGATTCATTGTGAATCACTGACGGAAATTCACTTGCATTGTTTTGGAGACGCGAGCAAGAGAGGAGTGTGCGCAGCGGTACACGCGGTCGTCAAGCAAGTTTCTGGTACTACCCCAGCCCTAGTGACAGCCAAATCTTGATTCGAAGACAATCTTACGATCCAAAGACTGCAACTGATCGCTGGGCATATGGCGGTGAACCTCGGTGTGAATGTCAGGAAGGCCCTTGAGGGGTTCAAGTTAGCAGATAAACTCCACTGTTTGCTCGATAGCACAGTAGTGCTTCATTGGTTGAATCAGGAGGGGCACTACAGGCAGTTCGTCGAAAACCGAGTTAAAAAATGAAAAGTCATGAAAACGTGATTTGGCGACATGTGCTTACATGCAGATGTTAATCTGGCTGACGTGGGAACCACGGCAATTTCGAGGGCAACAAATTGTGGTGGAATGGTCCGGATTAGTTGGCGAACGAAACAGAATGGCCACCCAATCTTGTAACAAAGCCGAGCGAAACGAGTGAGGCTGAAAGAAAAGTCTATCGGGAGGTGTATGCCGTTGGTGCAGTGAAAGAAACCTGTCCTGTCGAGAGAGTTTGGAGAAGTTCGATCTGTGTAAAGAGTGATGTGTTACGTGACGCGGTTCATCAACAACTGTCGACCCTCAGCCAAGAAAATAACGGGCGAAATCTCTACGGAAGAATATACGAGACATGAAACGTTCATGGTAAAACAAGCACAATAGCGAGTGCAAAATCATCCAACTTTCTTAATGGATAAGGAACAGTTGTGGTTAACAGAAAATAGGATGGGATCTGGGAATGCCACGGACGTATTTAAGGGAAAAATCCTGTTTACTTGCCAGATGAAGAATTGTTCACCGAGAAAGTTGTCCATCGATCCCATGTGTCTACTTTATAATTACACAGTGGTGTTGGAATCGCAATGGCCAATGTCCGTAAAAGATATTGGGTTCCAGGTTACGCAAACTTTTAAAGAAGATTATTTCAAGATGTTGGGGTTCGGTAAACGGTTCCGGGCTTTACCAACAAGTGCTCCAGTTCATGGCCTGCTACCGAAGTGACGTACGACACAATCAAACTCTTGACTTGAGGTGGCTGTGATTCGGTGCATGCAGACGTGTATTTTTGAGCTCCGTCCACTGTAAACTAAACTAAACACTAAAGCGAGGAAGTAAAAAAACGTAGTTTTGTTAAGAACACTCTTAGTGGCAACTTCAACAAAACCGAACACGATTTTACGCTTTGCATGGACTGGTGACTTCGAATCCTTAGCGCAAACATCAAAGCCGGTTGTTATACATTTTCGTTGCTCATCATGCTTCCCTTATTGCGGGCTATCCTTAGCCTACAATCAGGTGTCACGTAATGGGGCAACGTAATGTCTTCCAATTTGTTTTGATTTTTGTTTTTTATTCGTCCATTTTTATCACGTGTTTTGCCCCCATACAAAACATGTATTCTCCCCTATTTATTTTCATACTAACTCTCCTTACGAAGGCACTCAGGTCGAAACGTCAAGAAGTGTTCTTGTCTACTTTAGGCAGTTGTTAAACCACATTCATTATTTTGATGCTAAGTTGTTTGAGGACGCTGCCACGCTGCTCCCTGGTAATATTAATGAGGTATTTAATTCTTCTAAAACCAATGAAATTGTTAACCAGCCATTGTCAAATGATCGTATGGGAATTGACTTTCAAACCAATTAAACAATTCCGTAGACAATGAAGTAGAATTCATTAGCCAGCTGGATAAATCTAATGATGCAGAATTTGATGCTCAATCAAACATGCCTGCATGACGAGACGTTAATTGACATCGCTGTTGGCTGTGTTGAAGGTGAACAATACCCTAATAGTAACACCATTACAGATACAGATTTAAAAGCTAAAACTCGTCAAGCTTCCTATGCTTAAGTGGTTAAATTGCACCCCAAGTCCTGTAAGTCCAAGGAAAATCCCAGCATGTTCGATAATCCCGAAAGTAAAACATTAAGTTATTTATCACAAAGAAATATTGACGGTGATGGCTTTATTGGGTTCGACCGAAGGCGGAAAAGAGTAAAGAAACTTTTCCTATCTGGAATACACGAGAGTGTGCAAGTGAGTCAGATCTTATCCTACTTAGGGCAACGAAATATAATACCTACTCACATTGCCTTGTTTCGAAGTCAACGCGTAGAGGAACACTATCCGCTAGAATCCACATACCATCCTCAATGTTGTCTCAAGTTCAATCTCAGGGGTTCTGGACAGCGTTCGTTAAATGTAGTGTGTGACAATCGAAAAATGTCAGAAATCCCATTCAGACTAAAAATAAAACCGGAATAGCCCAAGATGGGATCAACATATCTGCATGTAATGCCTAATGGCTAAAATTCCAGTCAGAACTTCTCTACGTGTCATTTCCACACAAATAACGGCACACAAAATGACCAATGCAATTCCAGTAGTTCAAATTTTACGTCGACAGTTCAAAAGAATACGTAAACTTCATCAGCGTACCCGCAACTTAAAATCCGTACATGCATGTGGTTGGACGTGAGCCAAGTAAACCACAACAAATTCTAAAATGTCTAGTGTTAAATGCAAGATCAATGGTAAAATCAGACGCTCTTCCAGCATTATATGCAGATCTGAAAAATAATGCTATTGACACTTATTATATATTATATATTATCATTGACACTCGCATGCAGCTCAGTATTATATGCCGAAATGACTGGAAATGGAGTTGCTGCCAAATTCAACAAATGACTTTGAATGCGCGTATGGGGCAAAATTACGACTGATAATAGCATCCTTTACGTTTCAGTCGTCTACCATCCTCCTAACCATACATATGATGCTGACGATTTAGTTGATTCCCTGTCTGACTTAGCCTATGTGAACATCCCAACCCAATGCTAAGATAATAATCGTGGGAGACTTAAACAAATTAAATGTCTGTATTCTACTAAACCAATAATTATTTTCTCAAAAGGTTAAGACACCTACAAGAGGGGATAATATATTAGATGTTTTCATTACGAACACTCCACATTCTTGGAAAAAAGTAAAAGTCCTGAAAAGTTTGCTTGGATTAGATCATGGTATGGCTACAGCATATCCACGAGATATTATTAAAGCCAAAAGGACAAATTCGTATTTCAGAGACGTGAGAAAACACAGAAAAATTAAACATATTAACTAAACTAGAATCAATCGATTGGAATGAAATAACTGCGGTAGGCCAAAGTGTTGATTAAATGGTTGAAAAATTCTATCTATAAAAGTGCGAACGTCAACATAGGACTCACCATTTATTTCTTCTTTTGTCAAACGTTTGCTAAAACAAAGAAAGCAAGCTATTGAGGTCAGAAGATTACATGATCCCGCTTACGCAAGATTTAACTATAGCATATGCCTTTTTTTCGAAACCATGCATTGGCAGCCCAGAGATGTTCTCGTGCGCTCGGGGGTGTACGCGAGTTTTCATGCATGGCCGTCTACCGAGTGGCGCAAAAAAGTTAACCTGTTTGTTTGCGTATAACTTCAAAATTAAGAGGCCTGTTACACTGAAATAACTTTCTTTAGATTCGTGAATGTCTAACTTGAAATTTGGTATGTACTATGTGTATTTTCATACAGTATTCCCGGAGATATCGGCGTTTTACTTTTACATACGTATTTTTGAAAAGTATTTACCTAAGACATGTATATTTTTTTTTCTAAATACACATGGCAAAATTTGATCGTATTGATGTATTATAATCGTATTGATATATTATGAATAATTGTAATTGAAACATATTTTTAAAAAAACATTAAAAGGAAGTAACACTTGTTCATGAAGTGTTACTGCCACACAGAATTCTTCACTTTTCCCTAAAATTTATGTTATCCCTAAAATTTAATCACCTACCTTCTTATAAAGGTAGTTATAGAGGTTGACTTTCCAACACCAGCATCACCTGCTACGCCAATATTCACTTCAACGTGTTTCAATTTTTCAGGTTTATCTTTAAGAAATCTGTCTGTCTCAGACAAGCCATATTTGTCAATGTGCTTTTGTACGTCTTCCTTGTATCTTCCTTTCTCCCACTTCTCCGTTGAGACGCACAAGGGTTCAACAGATACTTCGTTCATCGCTTTAGTAGTTGCGTCGTCCATGGTCCAACCAGGCGAGTCGTCTTCCATAGTTGCACAAAACTCGTCTTTAGTTTCACCCAATGAGAGACCCATAATGTTATCTGACAAATTGTCCATAGCTCTCAGAGATGGGTCATCCATAGTTTTACCAGAGGAGTCGCCAATACTAGTAGTTTCGCCAGACAAGTCGTCCATAGCACTGGCAGATTTGTCAACCGTTGATCTTAAATTGTGGATTAGAACTGTTAAAATTTGCTAAAACAGTCAGAATGTTTTAATTTACCCTTCCGATTGTTGGTAGGATTTAACGTTGTTTCAATTCAAATGTCACTTATCTTCATTAAACCACTATAATTAACTGGTGACGTGTGGCACAATTCATGTAATCATATACTAATTAATGATATCAGTTTAAAAAAACGAAATGTAAACTTGAAAAATGAAAAGCTATCTACATACTTTTTTCTGATGGCTTCCTTCGCTTTGTTTACTTCTTCCACGTTTTTTATTTCAATCTCCAATCCTTCTATTTCAACTCCAATCGATGAAAATTCTTCCAGCAAACGTTCTTTCAGCCTTCCAGATTCAAAATCATCCAAAACCTCCAGAAACCTTTCATCCGTAAGACAATGTAATGGAACAAGACAACCTTTTTCGATCTCCCCAATTTTCTGGTCATCTCTACCATCACTGAAGCCTCTTTTAACAGCGTCTTGGAGAGGTTTTTCACATGCATTAAAAAATTCACCAAGAGTAATACTATCGATTCCCGTATCTTTAAGGACTTGTAACTTTCTAGCGGTAATCTTGAATGTGGTAATACCTCCATCACTGCTTACATTTGGAAGCAGAGCACCAAATGCTGCGAGTCCCCGAATTCCCTGTTCATCTGTTGTACATTCTGGGAAAATAAAAATTTTAAAATTTTTTCAACCATGTTTGAGCATAGCATAGATTGGGTTTAAAAAGTGATGTCGTATATATATATGCTCCCTAATAATGGAAATAGGCGTGTTTCGACAACGACCACATATAAAGGCTGTACTCAGCGACGAATAACCTTGCGAAATGAAATTCCGAATAACCTTGACGACATGAAAGAGAAATTTCTATCTAGTTATTGTCATACTATACCTGTCCCTGAAGTCTGCTTCTTAATAATCATGACATTCCTATTGATGTCATCTAGTTTTTGTATAATACTTTCATGACCATCCGATAACGTTTTTAATGTTCCTTTAAGAAACTTCTGGTTCTCCAGCACAACAAACGAAATTTTGCGATTCAACTCATTAACCCTTTCAGTTGGAAAGTGTCCCTCCTTAAGACTACCAATGTAATTAACTTGGTCTGTTGAAAATCCAGTTGCGACAAAAGCATCCTTAGCAAGTTCAACATAATCATCAAAATCGGATTTTGTTATGCTGGACTTAGGCAAATGACATAAATTGTTTCTAAGCAGGCGAATTTGGTCGATTGCTAAAGTTATAGTTTCATCCTGGTTCCCAGTTGGACTGGTCAGTGAGGCATGAAAAGGATTGGGTTTCTTTCCCTTTATAAATTGATCATGGAGTGTCTTGATGGTCGTTGTCGTAGAGATTGCAAACGTCTTGGAGTAAATATTTGCCTGGAACAGCGCTGTACAATCCCAATCCTCGATCGATTTATTGGTTGGTATGGGAGTTGTACCGCCTTCGAGTGTCAGAAGAAGCGTACGGACTGCGGGTGTGTCGTCCCAAACTTGGTAACCAGGCAACGGTGCAATCTTCGAGTCCCACAATAACACAAATGTCGAACGTAACATTTTCGGAAATTCATCGAAAACGATGGATGCGAATTGGAAGAAATTCAGTTCTTCTTTTAAGAAGGATTTTACTTCCATTTAGATGCTATATCGTTGCATATTTCTTTAATTTCTACAGCAAAGAAAGACCCTGATTATACATAGACATATTGACCTATTTTGCCGGTGTCACAGGACACACAGGTCTCCCCTAAATAACATAGTTTGGCTTACCATTTTAGAGCTAGAAAACCAAAAAGTTTATAAAAATTAAATGAGATATTTTTTTCAACATTTATAACTTTAGCTACTTATTTATTTAACGTTGTTTTTCGATCAAAGCTTTCCACTGAATCTAATGTTATGATAATCCCTAGTTGTTAGCTGCGTGCATATTTATCATTTATACTTATCAGTAGATCTGGAGTGAGGGGGATTCGGCGAAATATTTCCCGAAGTGATGATATTTTCCGAGGGCTTCGCCGGAGGGAAATATCATTATTGAGATTTGATATATTATACCCAAAAGTATTGTGAGCTTGTAGAAGAGGCAAACATACAGTACGAAGGTTCGCTGGAAAATTATTTCTATATTCTATAAATCAGTAAAAGTATACACGAAGAAGGCGTAAAAAAATTACCTTATAACGTATTTTAAGATTAGTGAATATCAGTGTGAGTGTTAACATTAGTGAATATCAATCTAATATCAGTGAGATAAATTTAATGTCACACCCCTAGCTCGGAAATAGGGGACTGGGATGCGATACCGCGAAAAATTTCCTCATCACATGGTACATGATGTTTTTACCAAACGTACTGTTTTGTCGATCAAAACATGTCATTTTCGTTACTAATAATAACCGGTGCATGTTCATGTGTGATGTTGTTGACGTGACTTCACTAGCTCATAATTGTACGCGTTCCTTCAGGCTTTTAGCTCTTGAAAAGTTCGATATATACAAATAGATGATGCAAACTATAAATACTAACAAACTTTCAGGATTTTGAATTCTAAAATAACTGTTAATACTAGAGGCATGAGAGCTATGTGCTTCGCAAGTTAAGCCAGGTTTCCATATAACGCCGACATGCCGAAGACTCGAGTCGGTGAAGCAAACTATTCCGCCGTTCACACGTACCCGATTCACTCGTCACGACATTTTCGTTTGCTACAAAGCAACCATGACTAACAAATGCTTATCAATTCGATAAATTTGGTATATCTATTCACGTCTTAACTTGGTCATATTTTCAAAGTCAAACTTCACAAAGTCAAAGATTCATTTATGTTCAACTGCACAAATGAAACCAAACAATGTTAAAATATTAGAAAGATCTAAATGCTATACAATCGAACAATTACGCAAGTATTTATAGAGTAAAAATTAAAAGTTATTAATGTTTTAACACACAATTAAAGGCATGTGCCTTGCGATATGGGGTCTCAAATGCTTTTATTTTCTGCATGCAGTTAGAAGAAAAACTTTTTTCAACTGTATCCACCTTTATAATGGTAAAACGATTGCATTACAGTACAAAGTAGCACAGTGCTTAAACTAATTGTTTATTATATGTAAATATTTACCATAACATCAGTCTTGTCTTCTAAATATAAAGCTCCCACCCCCATCAGAATATAATTTTGTAAGTTACTAATTCCTTTCTCCACAGGACAAGTACTTTTGTAACATCTAATATATATATTAATATATATATATATATAAATTATATATAATTATATAATATATATATGTATATATATATACATGTATATATATATATATATATATATATATATATATATATATATATATATATATATACACCCATTTGCAAAAACGTTGGCTGCAGATAGATATATAGATAGATAGTCGAAATCTAATTAGATTATTAATTGCATATGTTGTGTAATATGATTGAAATCCCATGCAATTGTAATCATATGCAATTCTAATTTGACTTCAAGTATCTATCTATCTATCTATCTGCGGCCAACGTTTTTGCAAACGGGTGTATATATATATATATATATATATATATATATATATATATATATATATATGTATATATATATAATATATATATATATATATATATATATATATATTATATATGCATGGCACTGTGCCAAATCATTTCATAGTTAAATAAATCCCACACAAATTGCAATTACTTTAGAGAATATTTTAAATTCTTGTGCTGTTTCAGTATAAGGTATTAAATAAAACTCCTTATATAAAATACGGTAATATATACATATATATTACTATATAAATATATATATGGGCTGTCTGTGGTAAGCGATTAAATAGCAAATAGATTTTTGTAATATAATCCCAAAATTTCCATTCATTAAGAGGTTCTCGCGCGTACCACGAACACGCAATAAAAACGCAACTAGACCCAGACGTGTCACGGTCACCTACCACTCCTCCATCCCCTTTGATGGCCATAACCTTATACATCAGAGCATTCCTCTGAGGGCATTCGTAACTTATTACTCGTTCACATCTATCAAAACAGGAAAATCGCACATAAAATCGCAGCAAAAATCGCAAGTGTAAACGAGACTTCTCTCTTAGACATTAGACATTTGAGTGCCTAATCTGTGTCCTCATGCTAAATCTCCCTAATGTTAACAATTCATTAGCTACCATACAATTGTCTATGTTCTGTCTATGCATGCAGTATTCTGTGAATTCTGTGACATTATATTCAAATGGACTTCATTATATTAAAATGGACTTGTTAGCACACTAAAGTTGACCATGTTGAGGAATAATTGTTGATCATGCAACAAAAAATCTAAGGATAAGTTCGTTTGAAACACGTATGATCCAGTCGCTCATCACCAAAAACAGCGCAATGTAATATAAGTTCTAAAAAATATTAAAACAACTTGTAACTCTCCGAAATAATAAATAAAAGCAATTTGATAATTTAAAAAAATTATTGAAAATAGCACAAACTAAAGGGACAATTTTTCTCAAAAGTATGGACACCATTTTCGCCAACGTGGATTTGACAACAGTCAATTCAACGCCCAATATCTCGGAAAATGCCTAGGGATCACCGGGATCATTCGTGCAGATTTGAAGCTTATATGATTGTCTTTCGAGTTACCAAGAATGAAGAAAATCGAACCATGGGAATTCCAGATATTTGATTTTAAACATTGTAAACAGATTTACACCTAAGTCGGCCATTCGCGGGGAGTCGACCAAGTTCAAGCCTCATAATAAGATACAATATAACATTTACCTCTGAGATTTTTGCAGAAACCACTAGATCTTTACTTCTTCCGTATGTGCACTTGAAAATTTACTCAAAAATTTAAATGTTTATATTTTTTCTGTATTTATTTCGCGACGAATGCAAAAATTTTAGCCAAAATTTTTCTGAAACGCGATTAGAAAATAGAGCGATCTCATTGGTCGAGAAAAAAATACACATATTAAAAAGTATAAATACACACAAATAATTATTAGGCTATTCAATCTACTTCAATGTTAAAAATGAAAGTGCCCAATTCTCTCCATATGTAGCAATAAATTTACAAAGTCATAGCATGGTTTTACTGTCATTTACTCCTGTGGTATAATTCCACTCGAAATAAAGACCCTTTAAACCTCTAGAATATACTATATAATACCTACATTGCCTAAACATTGTTAGACACGCATATTAGCATGTAAATTGTAGACAAGTACATAAGCATGTAAATAAATGACATATAATGTGTCTATATCATTAAAGTGTGCATTTTTATTTCAAATAAAAAATGAATACCATTCGCCATTGGGCTCCCTATGGCGACAAGAACAAAATGCCAAAACCTGGCCAAAACGCAATCAGATTAATCAGACTACGGAAATGAAATTCGGAATTGAGATTGTGTGAAAATTACCGCTGAATGCATACATGAAATATTAACTTATTGCGGGCTCTTCGTGGTTTCAGTCGAATGAGTCGATCCTATCTAGTTCCTTCCTGTCCAACCTCCTCTGAAGCTCAGCATATTTTTCGGTATAAATTCGGTAAATATAGATTGTACCAGCAACTATATTATTTACATCTTTGATGCTGTTCGATTGAGTTTAGATTTAATTGGGGTCAGAATATATTTAATACTTATAGATTCTGGACCTATTTTAATAATATCGCTGCTACTTCGCCGTTTAACAAGATATGGGCGCGTTGACACGTCGCAGTTTGCACAGGATTGAAGATTTAATATAACTATATAAGCGCGAATTCCAAAGGCAAAGTGTAAGACAAAGTGAACGTACCATGCGGGTTTTTTACATTTTTAAACAATTGAACGTCTATACTTTTTAAAGTACGACGTGCTTCTGAATTTCGCGATCGAATAACATTTAGGTTGGCAAGGCATCTAAATGAGTATGAACTGTATTGTTTATGTTCAGAAGCTTTATATTGAAGACTGGCACGTGGAGTTAACGCCAGAACAGGCGTCTTGTTTCAGTTGTTTGTTGATGTGACTGAAATTATACAAGCAACTGAGATTTACTACTAAAAATACTAGTATTTATAGAAGACATCAATATGATATATCCGACATCTCGGTTGCGCAATACAAACTTTCCATACTAGTCAGTGGGCAAATGACTAAAATGAGGAACTAAAGTAACAAATATCGACAAATAGTGCACACTTTAGAGTACATTACCTTGCCCTTGCCTTCAAAATTTGCTTAAAGCAGCTTGCACATCATAACTACAGCCAAATTCTTTCCTTGTGCACCGAACCAAAGCGGGGCGCTCGCTTGCAATCCTAAGGGCGATTCTCCATTACCGTCCGCCTCACCCGCGCGGGCGAAGCGGCCTTTGAAATTCTGCCTATGCGACCGTGACCGGCCTGAAAAACAAAGCGAGCTTCGCCCGCGCGGGCGGAGCGAACGTAATGGAGAATCGCCTTAAAGGCCGGCGCACACTAGAGCTATGTGCTTAGCAAAAATTCATTCGTGGCCACTGGCGTAAGCCAGTTGCGGGCGACTTTTCAGGCGACTTTGGTCATTCGTGCTACTTACGGCAAATATCTAGCATGTTTGATAATTTCTGCCTCGCGTGCCAACATCTTTCCCTGTGCGGAAAAATGAAAGCTATCTGCTTATGGATTGTCTTAACAGCGCATGCGTGATAAAATTATATGAATGTAAACATCCAAGATGGCGGACAGATTGCAAAAACAAAATTATGGATGAAAGTGAAGACGAAGAGGTGTTGTTATTTTTGTTGCTGTTGCGTCGGACTGGACTAGACTTCGGCTTTAAACATCCGTTATTCAAGTGCTATTAATTATATTACCTGTTTGAGAAAGCTTACTAGTTCTTTCTGCAATAGCGCATTCCCGTTTCTCTCTGTTTCTAAAACTGATCTGTAGAATTCACATCGTATAAACACCAGTATTCTAGCCAAATATCAACCAGTTTGTCTTCCAATATGGCCTCAGCCACCAATTCGTTTTGCTTTGTTTGCACCGCTATCTTGGACGTTTACTTTCGTATATTACGCATGCGCTGTTAAGACAATTCATAAGCAGATAGCTTTCAGTTTGCCGCACTCGGAAAGATTTCGGCACGCGAGGCAGAAATTATCAAACATGCTAGATATTTGCCGTAAGTGGCACGAATGACCAAAGTCGCCTGAAACGTCGCCCGCACACGGGAGCAACTGGCTCATACGCCAATGGCCGCCACAAATGACTTTTTGCTAAGCAAATAGCTCTAGTGTGCGCCGGCCTTAAGGCTCTCAGCCTCTCACCATACCTCTCACAACCACAACGAAATTGACGAAATCCTCAAAAAATAGGTACGCTAAGCGTACTTGTATCTGCTTACAACAATCTAGTTTGGACAGCAAATGGACCATAGGGATTTGGCCTTGTTTTTTAATTTCCCGTCTACTAGTGAATGGGGCTTGATGATTACCTACACTATTTTTTACCGCTGTTCAAGCAATAGAAAATATGCTTAGTAATATGTTGTAATGTCAGTCATGACAGTAATATAGACGTGCTCTGTTTTGAGAGCTGGGAGGTCTCACTGACTTGTTTGCGTTTCCTATATTCCATTGCATATGCTCTTCGCTTTTGCTTAGCATCAGGGCTCTGTGTTTCGTTAGCTCGTTTTTCCTTCATGTATTTTTTCATATATTCTGTTCTTCTTTGCTTAAGCTGAGAGCTCCTATTTGACTGTTCAGGTCTTCAGGATTTAGAAGTACCTGAGTGATGGCAAAGTTGATACATAATGATACTCATCTATATGACTTAAATAAATATCTCTAAGTTGATCTGTTGGTGAATATCCCAGTACCATAGTGTATTCAGAAAATTGTTCACGTGTCTCACTAATGACTATCTTTAACTTCAGCTGATCAGCCACAGCTTGTATAATCATAGCAATAGTATTTACTACCATTGAACGCTAACAGAAGGTGTGAAGGTGGTGCAAGGTAGTGCTGCTATAAGAATATATTGTTATGCAGATGAACTTGTTCAAGTAAGATGCATGACAGAAAGCGAGGTGTAATGAAGTAATGGTGGATTCTCGTGTTCTATATACTTTTCCAGATGTTACGATTGTTATACATATTTTATAATTTCACTTTAAAAAGCTCTTAGAAGACGACGTCAGTCAACGTTACGAAGACACTGAAGCCACAATTTGCTACAACAACTTAAGCAAAACTGTGTAGGCGTAATGTCCGCGTTGCCAGGAGATTCGGATGCTTCAGCTTTCGAATGGCATAATAACCGCTTCGAGGCATCCGCTCTTTCCTGGTAAGGAAGTTGTGACATTCATTGTGCTATTATTGCTCTCAGATTTTATTGATATATATACAGATATAATGCACGACCTTTCCGGAACGGTGCAAAACGACAGAGGTTGCGAGCCTGTTCGCGTGACACAAGATCTGGGTTGCATTGAAATAATTCTCTTATTCTACTGTGTATATCTCTGTTCGCAGTACAACCTTATGCTGTTCTCTGAATGCTTTCTACAGCAATTCCAGTTTAAATTTACCTTTATATCGGATCTTGACGTGTGAGTGTACATCCAACAACCTATCGTCTCATTGGTTGAAAGAAACGTCGACACAAATTATTAAAATATCGCTATTTACTGTTATACGAAATAACGACATTTTGATGTTCATTTAATAACGAGTAGCGCTGAAATGAAGAATTGGAAATTTTTGGTTTTCACAGTATTCGCAAGTTTCTTCGGTGAATGGGCGACGCTGACAAGCGGTTGTGAATCGGATTCTGATTGTGGATCTCGCTTGACATGTTGTACCCGTGAAGGTCGCAGTTCGTTTTGCACAAATGTTCGTACGGCTTGTTCGTCGACTTCAAGTAGTGATGGGCAAAGTTCCTATTTGCTAATAGTGTTCCTTCCAGCTGGCTTCGTCGGCATGCTTATCGTTGGCGCATGCATCATTTCATGCGCGAGAAAGACTGGACAAAATGTTTACAGCGGCGGGGGATCTGCTGGGGGATATGGTGGTAATGGTGGTTATTGTGGTGATGGTGGTGGAGGTTGTGATGGTGGCGGAGGTTGTGGAGGTGATGGTGGAGGTGGAGGTGGTGGGGGAGGGGACGGAGGTGGTTGCTAAGCTCGAATGACTGAGAGAGTGACTGAGGAATGCGGCCAAAATATAGCGGTACGGCAAAATTGTTTTAATATAATTATATATAACCATGCATGCGTGCAGCACTTCTGTATAGCGTTGTTGACATATTAATTTATATACATACCTATATGCAATCATTGCAATGTATTCTTTTACATTTTAAAAACAAGTTATCAAGATATGCAAAGCGCATTGAAAATCTCTTGTTGTATAAATTATAATTATAGAGATTACATGATTGGCAAATGCGTACGGTTTCCATTTGCCATTGCGGGTAAGCCAAAATTTTAAACTGAAATATTTTCATACATATATCTTGTAAATGACTGAACCTTCATCTTATGTATTAAATATGTATTTTCAATTTGAAAATTGAAGCATTTACATCGAAATTTCAGCTCAGTTGTTCAATAAATAGATAAACGTATATCCACCGTTTAGCTATATACGCGTTTCGAACAACCGACCCAAGTTGTGAAGGATCGTAAAACGATTTAGTGATGTAGCGTTTGCCGTTTAGCAAATATTCACAACGAGTAAGTAAAGAGATCGTACAAACAAGGCTTAACGAACTAGTCATGGAGTAATTAGTTTATTTTATGTGTACAAAGATCAATCACCATTTAACATGCAGTATAACACGCTTTTAAATCAGTTTGAAGATACAGTGGGCAACAAATATCGAAATATTCGATTGTGAGAGAAGGGCCTATTGACCATGCTCAGTGGACAACGCTGTCAAACTATACATCTTCTCACTGTCGATAACATGATTCTCGTTGCGGAAAAGTTCACTTTCCACGTCATGGAGAAAGTCAAACTGTCAAACGTGTGGGAATTCATGTCAAACCCCTCGAGTTTTTGAAATATCCATTTGAGCCTCAGCTTACAACAAGACATACTGACGAAAATAGGCATGATAGAAAGCAATTTCCACTGACGTGGAAACTTATGTGAATAACCATGTATTGACCTGTCTCCAAAGAGACTTTATCCCGATGGATAAAGGTTTAGTTGTTAGCACATTCAAAGGTCATATATAGTGTCCGAGCGGCAACTATACAACCTTTTTAGCGTCGAATAACTGTAACATTAATGATATTATGTTATCCGCGGGATGGTCGAAGGAACAGACATTTCAACAGTTTTATAATAAGCCAGCGAGGAGGTATTTAATTTTGGCGCTTCGGTCTTAGACTTAGAGTGCTTACGAACCAGGGCCTTTTTAAGGAGTCCTTTAAGAGACAGCGACCCTCCTGCATAAAATACAAGCAATGTTATCTAAAACGTATAAGCATGTATCCATGTTACCATAAGGGGGTGTATTGCTAACAGGAGGTAGTACCACTGGGGGGGGGGGAATACACCCCCTCTCATACTTTGTACGAAAAACAATACTGGCTGGATACATGCTTCTATGTTTTTATGTAACATTGCTTGAATTTTAAACAGGGGGTTGAGGGCTCCTTAAAAATGGCCCTGTTACAAACGTTAATTGTTTTTAGGATATATGTTCACTTTAGTTTCGTTTGTTATGATACTATGGACTATCGTTGGGTTTATTGATAATATACTTCTCTTCAATTATTATATATCGATATATCTTTCTACCTGATTTTATCGCGCTGCCTATAGTTAGAGTGTTCTGCATATCTCTGCAGGACAAAGCCTCCACTGATTGCTCTGAAATATATCGTACAACGTCACACCGGCGACTTAGGCTGATGACAAAATTGAATTGAAAATTAAAACAAGACTTACCTGGAGGTTGAAGTTTGATTTGGCCGGGTGTGTGAGAGTTGACCGCCCTTCCCCCGGTACTGTGCCATTCCCTTACTTGCTGTCGAATCTCACACTCATCCATGCGGTCTTTGTCCGGTATAGCTCTAGCTGAAGACTGATTATGGGGCGTGCGCTCCACTCTCTCTTCTAGAACTCTCCCACTCCCGGCTGATGACTCATACAATCTAAATCAATTTTTAACTTTCAGGTCATGCAGTCTCGTTTAAATTTCAATATATATATATATATATATTTGCGGCCAAATATATAATATTAATATTAGCAAACTATGCAAGTCACTATTTTAGCAATAACTATCCATGCTGCATGTAATTCATACAATAACTAAGGATATATATCATCACCCACATTATAGTAAAGCCAGCTTTCATAAGGCTGCAGCGTGCAATTAGTATTAATATACTGCGCTGCATCGGGTAGATTATTCATACGAACGTGAAACACATCGAGTAAGCCTTTAGTGAAGTAACACACAAACATTGTTATGAAGATTCCGCTGGCAAGCACATGAGTTTGCCAGTGATTCCGCCACATTCTGGAGACCTGGTTATTTAGGCGACGTGTACGATATAAATTTAACAACCAATTGAAAACAAATTGGATAACCACAGCAATTACGATTCTTCTACAAAATTCCCAAATGATATCATTCTCGTTTGGAGGCACGAAATTTGTGGTCTGGTAAAACATGATATAAGCTTGACTTATTATTATCGAAATATTCTGAAAGAGGATATCTTGGATATCGATGTGTACTTGATGATTGCTGCTGGGATTAATGTTTGATCGTGGCGGAAGGCTAAGATGGCAGATAGGGCAAACATATTCGATAAGGTTCGTTGTTTCCTTTTGACAAAAGGAAGTTATTGTGAAAAATATGTTTAAAAAACCTTGAAGCACAGTGAGAAACGCAAACTGCCAAATATTCATGTTGAAACCTTCAAGCAAAATTTCACATAAAGTTATCCATGTTGCTTTCATAAAGAAAAAAATTTCAAAGACTCGATTATGGTCCATGTTAATCTCGTCGGTATGACATAGTGCTATATGCTGGCAAAATGCAGTCGGTAGGATAGCTAAGACTCGCATCAACACAGCTATAAGTATGCGTTTTCCCAATTCTGCTTCCATCGAATTAAACCACTTTACTATTCCGTATCTAAAAAGCATCGCCATTCCGAACGTAAATGATATAGGCATAGAAACGAGAAAGAAGATATGAAATTTCGAGTAGGTAATCCATGGATGCCTGTCTTTAATCTCGCGAGCCACGATATTACATTGCCACATCAGTTCTAAAAAATACACAATATTTCCCGGAACACGGTACCAAAGCGACGTGTCATAAACACCATAGTTGAAGAGCAAAATTATGTACATTATAAACAGAAGACTGGACAGGGAGCTGATGTAAAGGGTCGTCGAATAATGCAATCTGAATTCGTTGTATCCAAACAGAACAAACAAATGCAACGGTAACCACAGATTTAAAATAATCGCCTCAACAGCGCTGCCTATCAGTCTCATCTTCACGACATCAGAAGGGGCAGTTTTGTTTCTAAAGAGCCATTCAGAACACAAATCGCAAGTTTTCAAATCCAAATACGTTAACGCGATTCCGATAACCGCCAGTAGAATTGCAGCAAAAGTGATGGTAATTGTCGCCTTCAAACTGTTTTGTAATGATCGGAAAAAAGTTGGTTCACCTCCATTCCCCATAGTCAACGACAAAACAACGAGAAAAAAAGCAATAATCTAGCTCAGGTATTATTAAGGACAAATGAAACTTGGTCGGATGACAAGTTTGCCAAATTCAAAGAAACAAATAATAGGAATATTCTAACTGCGCAATACGTCGTTAATTGGCTATACCCTGCAGGGCAATTCAATAAACATAACGTTCAAGCCCGAGAAAAACAGGTTAAAATGATAAATGCAAAAATTCTTCAATGCAAAACTATTTTCGTTGTCACTACAATACAACTATAAGTACAAGGATGATGTTTGTGATACTCAACTACATCTAAACCGATTTTGTTTAATCGGAAATAAAACAATCGCGAGATAACTTAACGGCGATAACGCACTACGATACCGTTTCGCCTGAATAGGTAAGATGTGAAATCACAAAATTGACAATCTCGAACAAATGAATTCTTTCTTCCTAATCTGCATCAATAACCACCACCTGGCAAAAAATTCGGTCATTTTGTAAATAGTACTGACTATTGCACCGGCATCGCAAAAGCGTAGGTTCGATTCCTGCCGGAGGACCTATATAGTTGACTCATTTTTACTTCAACTGTTCCTGGTTTGAATTTGAAGTGTGTATAATACCACTCGAAATTAAGACCCTTTAAACCTCTAGAATATTCCTGCAATGAGTGAAGTGCCAAAAATCATAATTTATATTTATATATATACTCATTTCAATAATAATTTGAATAAAATAATTTTACAAACTGATTACCTGCTTTTTAGCACTTCGTATACGAAAAAGTACGAAGGCACCTATAAAGATACGATATCTTTTTGTCATATTTATTCGCCTGCAGGTACGAGATTTATTTTGTCTGAATGCACCACGATTCGGAACTGAGTTATCAGCAAGCCAAATTCAACCAATAGGAATACGAGAGAATAATACTACAGCGAATGATAATAGAAATTGAAGAAATTAAAATTGCTGGAAAATGAAAGCTAATTTCTTAAAGGTTCGTTTTCATTAAATTTAGGTTACATTGCCCAAACCGATCAACGGATGATGGGAACCGTTTGGATCCTCTTGGACCTTGAACAGGGTATGTATGGTGATTATAAAGTGGTTCATCTCTGGAATCAGCCGTGATTTGCGTGTTCTGCCTGGTTCGAATCACCAATTGTCATAAGATTCTGGGATTCCCTTAGCGTACAAAATGCTTTATATATTTTGGCATGCATGGTCAATAAAATAAAATAAGAAAACAATATATTCTCGATTGATGACTCAGAATTTGTAAAAAATTCCCTTAATAATTTTGCATATTATAACGTGAACAAGCATGATATTATATAAATCACTATCTTATCAGTTAAACCATAATATGTTATGCTTATGTACATTACATAAATATTATATACTATAGCGTGGAATCACCCGGCCCGCTTTTTACGGTTAACAAGACGCCTGCTTAGGCGTT